GGATGAGTATAAAAGACTTGAAAAAGAGCTACAGAAAATGCCACAGAAAAAGGACATCACGTTAAAAATGGATATAGTTAAACACAAAATGGGTCAAATAGAGAAAGAAGAATTAGCACAGAAAATTAGAGGTGCTAAACAGAACTACTTTGAAGACGCAAACAAACCAGGTAGATGGTTAGCATAATTGAGAAAGGAGAAAGAATCAAGGAAAATATTGCAATTAACAGATGACCAAAGCCAAGTTTGCTATGGTAGTAAAGAGAAGAAGGAAATCATTCGAGACTTCTATGGGAAACTATATATGCAAGAGAATATTGATGAGGAAAGAATTAAACAGTACTTACAGAATGCTAATTTACCTCAGATACCTAAAGAGACTGAAACAATGTTAGAAAGCAATATAATGATGATGGAGTTAACTGAAGCACTCAAGAAGCAAAATAATGGAAAAGCACCAGGCCCAGATGGACTTCCGGCAGAATTTTATAAAACATTACAAGAATAGTTGAATCTTCCATTGCTAGAACTTATGAATGAAGTTATGTTAAAGAAGAAGATACCTAAATCATGGTCAGAAGCCTATATTACACTTATTCCAAAAGAGGAGGCCGATCCATTACAAATTAAGAACTATAAACCCATTTCTCTACTAAATGCAGATTATAAAATCTTTGCTTCAATATTGGCCGAAAGACTTAAAAAATACCTAAATAATTTTATCCATCCCGATCAAAATGGATTTCTGCCAAAGAGACAAATTAAAGACAATATGAGAGTAATTTTGGACACTTTGGAATACTACGAGGCACATCCTGAAAAACAAATGGCTCTGATATTTCTAGACGCACAGAAGGCATTTGATAATGTGAATTGATGATTCATGTTATTATTGCTGGAACAGATGGGCTTTGCTAGAAAATTTATTCAAGCAATAGAAGCTATATACTATAAGCAGACGGCAAAGGTAATGATAGAGGGAGAACTGACAGACTCTATCAATATAAGAAAAGGAACAAGACAAGGGTGCCCACTATCACCTTTGTTGTTTGTGTTAACTTTGGAAGTGCTAAACAGAAATATTAGAGATGAAAAGAATATAAAAGGAATGAAAATCAAAAAGGAAGAATTAAGCTGCAAGCATTTGCAGATGATCTTGTTTTCATCTTAGAAGACCCTCTAGAAACAGCATTAAAATTGATAGAAAAGATAGAGACATATGGAAAGGTGGCTGGTTTGAAAATAAATAAAGATAAGACAAAGATCTTGACAAAGAATATGCTATCACGACAAAAGGAAGAACTGGCAGACCTATTGAAAATTCAGGTCACGAATAAGATCAAGTACTTGGGGATATACTTGACAGCAAGATGTAGTACACTAAAAGAGAATAATTATATCAAACTTAAACAGCAGATAGCGTTAGATCTGGCGAAATGGGAAAATTTACAACTGTCACTAATAGGGAGAATTTCAACAATCAAGATGAATATATTACCCAGAATTTTATATTTGTTTCAAACAATTCCAATTAGGCTTGGAAAAGATTACTTTGAAGATTTAAATAAAAATGTGTTGAAATATATATGGCAAGGTAAGAAAGCGAGAATAAAATTAAAACTTTTGCAAGATGCTAGAATTAGAGGAGGATTTGGTTTGCCTAATTGGGAGTTGTATTATCAAGCTACAAATCTGATGTGGGTTAAGGAATGGATAACACTAAGAAATACTAGATTGTTGACATTAGAAGGACATGATTTGTTGTTGGGGTGGCATGCTTTTTTATGGTATAAAGGAACTAAAACACAGGGGTATTTTAGAAGACATTATATACGGGAGTCTCTGTGGTTAAACTGGGAGAAGATTAAAAGACAATGTTATTTGAAAATTCCAGTCTGGCTATCAACTATTGAAGCATTTTCTTATCCTATAATATACAAAAAGGAACAAACAGTTAGATATGGTGAAATATTGAATGAAAAGGGTGAACTCAAAAAAACTAATACAAAAACTAGAGGAACAAGGTATAAAGATGAATTGGTTTTCATATGCACAAATACATTCAAGGTATGATAAAGATTCTAAAATAGAAGGTTTCTATGATAAATTGACTGATTTAGATAAGATTTTGACAGGTACTGATGAAAAGGTGATTAAAAAACTGTATGGATATTTATTAGAAATTAAATTAGAAGAAGAACAAGTTAAAGAAACTATGATTGCTTGGGGGAAGAATTTTGGATATGGGATTGATTTAGAGAAATGGCAAAAATTGTGGTCTCAAAATTATAAAATGACAATGTCAACAGCATATAAAGAAAATTTGTATAAGATGTTTTACAGGTGGCATTTCCCCCCGACAAGAATAGCAAGAATGTTCAAGAATAAATCCAAAAAATGTTGGAAATGTCATCAGACACCTGGTTCATACTACCATATCTGGTGGACTTGTGCGGATGCTAAAAAAATACTGGACCAAAATCCACATGTGGTTGGAAAAAATGACAAAAAAAACATATAGATTTGAAACCAGAGATATTTTTATTGGGAATTTTACCTGAAATATATAGTAAAGATTTGAAATATCTGATTGTAAATGTATTATCAGCGGCTAGGATTGTATTTGCTAAAAATTGGAAAAATGAGAAAACACCATCACAGGAGGAAATCATTAAGAAAATATTGGAATGTGCTGAAATGAGTAGATTGACATTTGAAATGAGAGAACAAGAGGATAAACAATTTTATAAAATTTGGGATCTATTCTATCAATGGTTGGACAATAAAATACAGTAATGAAATATGTAGACTTTTAGAAAATAATAAATATATAAAGATGTACTTTTTTCTTATTATATCTACAAAATGATTTTAGGATAGATTTGGGATGATAATATGATCTGTTATAAAACAAACTAAGTAAATTATGATTATCTTGTAAAACATGAATGAATAAAAGCATAGTCAAATGATTGATTAATAATGATACTAAGGTATTTAATTTTTGATTGAAAATACAAGATTATATACAATGTAATTGTAATTGAAGACTACAAAATGGAAGCACAAAACAATTTGTAAGCCAACCGGCACACTGTATGTATACATATGGAAGATGGCTTGATGCTTTTATGTTTTGTTTGTTTATGTCTGTTTTAAAAACCAATAATTTTTTTTTTTTTAAAGAAGTACAGCTGGAAGTCAAGTAAAGAGATTTTCCATGTACCGTTGCTCTTAGAAATCATTTAGGTAGGTCTGAAAAGAAATGTCTTTTAAACAACGGTATTCTAGATGAAGATAGAGGCTTGTGAAGTTCATTCCACACCTAGTCTTAGAAAATGTACTACAACTAGCTTCAAGCAGGTTTGGTAAATAGGCTTGACACTTTTAAGGTAAGTTTCCCCTCTACATTATGCTGTAAAGTGCAGCATAATGTGTCAACATCATTTACCGACAGTAATCCTTAAAGTCCTGGTTGCCATCAAAACCCCTGGATCATGTTTGTCATAAATGGGAAAAGGCAGCAGTTTCAAGCAAGGAGTGCAGGGGTACTATGTGGAAGTGGGGGAGAAGTCTCACAGACGGATACCATGGAACTCAAGCAGGTGAACTGAGGCTTTGTGTGGGTTATTGGAGGCCACAAGGGTCAGCAGAGGCCTTGGGAGAGCCATTGAAGGCATTGGGAGGGTTGGCAGAGGTTATTGGTGGGGGTGGTGTAGATGAGTATGTACTTCAGACTACAGGTGGGCACATGCTATATAGAACAAGGGTCCCCATTTCCCAATCCCTGGCCTGTAGACCGGCACCAGTCTGCAGCATGCCAGAAATTGAGCTGCGCAAGAGAAGCCCCCATCTGTGAGCTGCAGGCACCACATGAAATCACATTCCCTCTGGTCCATGGAAAAACCTCTCTCTTTGAAACAGGTCCCTGGCACCCCAAAGGTTAGGGGGTGCTGCTATCAGGTATAGGCAGGTGGGGAGTCAACGGAATATGAGATCCTTTGCTAGTAATTTCACAGGAGGCAGGAGTGATTTACAGGAGGAACTTGCAACTTTCCTTGTCAGCAGCTTTGACCCAGTGTCATGCCCGTCAGAGTCTGAATTTGAGGAGGAAGATGAACAGCTGACAGGGAGTGGGAGTGCGGTTCCGTTGGCTGTGGAGCAAACTGGGGAAGGGCAAAGTCTGGCTGGGCAGAGCAGGGTAGAGGTAGAACAAGGGAGAGGGAGTTCAGAGGAAGACCCAGGCCCACCCCCTCTTCATCCTAGGGCATGCAGGGAGGAACGGAGAAGAGAGCAACATGGGTTGCATGGTTTATGGGAGGAGGAAAGGGCCCTGATTCCCTTCATTAGCCACAGCTGGGAAGGGAGTTTAAGGTGCATGCTGAGTGTGGTGTCTTCTGGGAACAAATGTGAGTTTATCTTGTGTATACTTTGATTATCTGCGTTCCTGGCATCCTCCCAATCACGTCTGGAATTCCTTCTCCTACCCTGCCAGATTAATTACTTAATTTTTGCCTTGTTTGGACTTATAATTACAGTTTTTGTTGACTACGTTTTGGACTTGATTCTCTGCAGACAAAGGCTGTTCCTAAGAGAGTTTTCTCCAGCCAGAAGGTAACCATTGGGGATAAAGTTGGAGCTAATAAAGGGACTCCTAGTGATTGTCTGACTATGTTGCCTTTTGTGCCATGCCCTGGGTCATCACACACTGCTACACTGTACTTGCAATCTGGGCATCTGAGTGCTCAGATTGTGATCATGTGACCATGGGGTGCTGCAATGGACGGTACTAACAAATAAAGATTGGTCATAAGTCCATTTTTTCAGCACTCCCGTAACTTTGAGTAGAATGATGAATGGATATAAGTGGTAGACTAAATTTAGAATAGAATAAGACTGGAATACATTAAAAATTTCTCTACTTCTTTCAGTCCTAGCAGATCCCAGCATGTAGAAAAAAGAAAGAGGAACTATACAAAGGGTAAAGCAAACAGACATACCAAGTTCATGCTGGGTCCTGCTTTTCCAAGAAGTAATGACTCCAGTAAACAGCAAAGAGTAACAACTTTACTGATGTCCACTTGTCTTATGGCTTGGGAACACTTTTTGTGAATATATTTTAAACCATCTTCAACGTAACGGGAAAAGAGTTCAAACAAATATGTTCTTGTTTCTTCATTGAGCTAAACAAAAATCAACATTGTTGTACAATTATTGTTTCCTCACCAACTTAGAAAAATGTACATTTCATAAGAAGAAAAGAAATCTGATATATTAGTGTATATAGTATTGCATTCTAATGTCTCCTATGCTAATAGGTCTAGAATCCAAATAGGGTAATGAAAAAGAAAAGGGAGGTACTGGTGTGCCCAGGAAGAAGATACCAAAGTTTATAGCCATTTTACAAAGCAATGAAAAAGCAGATTATGAGAACTGAGAATCTCCTTCCTTCCTTCCTTCCTTCCTTCTCTCCCTCCTTCCTTCCCTCCTTTCCCTATACTGCCCATTCAAAATTCTGGACAGCTTACAACAATATAGGTAAGTTAAAAATAAATTGCATGGCTATCAAATATAACATGATGATTGCCCAATGTAACATAACAGCAAAGACATGTTTATAAAAGAAAAACATTCAATTATCTGCTTGAATGTCAGAAGACAAAAGTCCAAGTGCCTCACTGGGAACAGTGTATTCCATAAATGCGGGGCCTATAAAAAGGTGGCCTCGGAGTCACCCTATGACTATTATTAAGTATTCGAAGTCACCCTATGACTATTATTAAGTGTTGTACCTTATGATTCTTGACTCTTGATGAAAGTATCTTTTCTTTTATGTACACTGAGAGCATATGCATCAAGACAAATTCATTGTGTGTCCAACCACACTTGGCCAATAAAGAATTCTATCTATCCTAACAAAAATGTGCAAAATGCTTAATTATTATTATGTACTAGATAAAACATACTTTTTCTTCAAGGCCTGCCATCCATGTTTTTACATAGGGCATCCACTTCAATTCCTCTGGATCAATGTATACCATTCCACATCGGCTTACTGTGGCAGGTGAAGCAACTCTTAAGTCTTCTACCTAAAATTCATACAGTAGACACTGCATTTGCTTCTAGTTCTGCACATTCTTATGCAAAGAAAGCAATGCAGATACAATTGTATCTTTGGTTCAGAAATAACATCTCTATTTCTTTGTTAATTGAGATTATAATCCCATACAAATATAGGAATTGTTGGATTTCATAGCAAAGAGGAAACTTTCAAATTTCAGCCCCTGAGTAAGGATTTCAAAGTCTTTCATATCCTACATCAGAACTCTAATTAGGGGTCCTTGGCTCTCTGAGCTTACTTGTTTTTTTTTGCAAACATTTCATTACCCAAACTAGGTAACATCATCAGTGCACTAGTGCACTAGCACTGATGATGTTACTAATTTGGGTAATGAAATGTCTGCAAGAAAATGAACAAGCTCTGAAAACACCAAGGACCCCTCATGAGCTACAAATATTCTCCTTTATTGCAACTCTAGTCATACAAGAGTAAAAAAAAAAAAAAAGGAAGGGATCCAGGGTACAATATTACTCAGATACAGTAATAATATTAAGGGAATATTTATTCCAGCCCTGTAATTTTTGTAAAAAAAAACACCACCACCAAAATAAAAACCTGCCACTGTTTAGAATGGAAAGAAATTATTTCCTATCCTGGAAGATGAAATTATTGGTATTCCCTTCTGCCCTATCAGCTTGAGTTAACAGCACACACTGGCTAGCTTCTCCCAGTAACGGAGACAACACATGAGATAGTTATAAAATATTATGAACTCATACATAATTTTAAAAAAACTTTTAAACCTAGGCCAGGTATAAAATTGTCGTTCAATTTCATAACAATATAAGCAAGATATACTAAATTTCCTGCCTCATATAAGAGAAATATAAGAAAGAAAAACATTGAAAAGAGCAATGGATTCCTTCAATGCTAAAATGTAAGAGATAAAGTTAGAGCTCATTTTTTTCATTCTGAATAAGACAAGAGGCTTCTACATTTATCCAACTCAAATTAGTTTTGAAGATTTGAACAGTGATGCTGTTCTTGAGGAAAACACTGGAAGAAGCCCAGTGAAATCCAGTGATACTCTGAATACAGCATTAGAAAATCCATTAAAACTAAGAATGTGAATTACCTCAAACATCATATGGATGGATGGCGTAAGTTTGATTCTTTCACTGTTAGCCAAACAAAGCATCTTGTTGTCATCTAGAACCGTGTTCAGATTTTCGATCCATAGTGCATCCACAGGTCCATCACTGACGATCCATTTATGATCTTCAGAGGTGTCGACCACAGCAGCTCGCACACTAAGTGCCATTAAGCCATCTTTCCATTCCAGGGTTAAATTGTTAACTTCACCATATAGCTCACCCATAGTTATTGATTTAGGATTCAGAACATATGTTTTAACTGGCTGGAAAAAATGATAGTCCTCACCTGCTTTATGTAAAGCTCCAAGTGTATCTGCCAAAATTTGGTAAACTGTAGTTTTTCCACCTCCTGTTGGTCCAACAAGCATGACCCCATGCCTTACCAGCATAGTTTCGTACAGCTGAATCACTTTACGAATCATGGTAACTTCGGTCTGCAATCCTTTGGAAAGAATGATATCTACTATTGTTGACTGCAGCACTCCATAATTATGTTCTGGGATTATGACTCCAGGGAAAAGGTCAGATATAATTCCACTAAAAAAAAATGAAGCACAAAAGATTTGCTCATTTATTTACATTATTGGTACTTCATCATTACCAATGCAAAATTTAAGCCATCGAAGAGAACATTTCACATAGCAAATAAGGGAAGGATTTGAATCCAGTTGTTCATTCCCCTAATTCTCCTTTTCTTTTATCCCATCTCTCAACTGAAATGCTGACAGAGTTGGTTGGGTAAAACCCATATTGGGATTGGGGTTCTCTATTCCCCAACTATGGCCAGAATACAGAAATGAGCATAGCAAGATAGCTGTGAATATTCAATAGGAAAAATAAAAAGCCCAGATTCAAAGCTTTTAAGTCTAAAATTGCCTTATCCTTTCTACTCACATGAATTAAATTGGGGCAGTCAGGGAAACTATATCAGAGAGGACAGCTAGAAATGAAAAATATTCTTAACAAAATCTGGATTTCCAGTTTACAGGTACTCACTCATCCAACATTGTCCCCAGAAGTATTTATTATTTGTTAAATTTCTTTGTTGCCCATCTCACCACGAGGTGATTCTATGTGACTTATAGTACAGAGTATAACAGGATTCTGCAGCTAAACAAATCGTCATCTGCTTAGTGGATATATATTTATATACATATACATATATATACATATATATACATATACATATACATACATATATATATATATATACACACACACACACACACACATACATACATACATACATACATACATACATATATGTTTTCTTAAGTTTTCGCGGGTACTTACATGTATGGTATTCAGCTTTGTTCGGGTATTTTCCCACGTCATTATAGTTGCACTTTTAAATATGTATGTATGTATGTATGTATGTATGTATGTATGTATATATGTATATGTATATGTATATGTATATATGTATATAAATTATTTGGTTTGTCAATTGCTTACAAGATAATAGGTATAAGTAAAAACATAGTTATGAATACATGGATACATATAAGAAAAATAAAAGAAACAATAGGACAGGGACGGTAGGCACGTTGGTGCGCTTATGCACACCCCCTACGGACCTCTTAGGAAAGGGGTGAGGTCAATAGTAGACAGTCTAAGGTTAAAGTTTTTGGGGTTTGGGGAAGAAACCACAGAGTCAGGCAGAGTATTCCAGACATTGATCACTCTGTTGCTGAAGTCGTATTTCCTGCAATCAAGTTTGGTGCGATTAACCTTGAGTTTGTATCTATTGTTTGCTCTTGTATTGTTATGGTTGAAGCTATTCATTGACAGGTAGGACATTGCAATGTATGAAGTTATATACTATACTTAGATCGGACCGAAGGCGGTGTAGTTCTAGGTTTTCTAGATCTAGAATTTCAAGTCTGGTGGCATAAGGTATTCTGCAATAGGTAAACTGCAAAAGTGGAGAACTCTTCTTGTGAAATATTTCTGGACTTTCTCAACTGTGTTAATATCAGATACATAATGTGGGTTCCAGACTGTATTCGAATATTGGTCTAGCAAATGTTTTGTATGCTCTAGTTAGTAGTGTAATATTACCAGAGAAAAAGCTACATAAGAGTAGGTTAACAACTCTTAACGCCTTTTTGGCTATGTAATTACAGTAGGCTGTAAGATCATTACAGATCATTAGAGATGAGTACTCCAAGATCCTTGACAGAGTTTGGATCATCAACAAGGTTTTGACTATTCAGCCTGTATTTTATTATCTGATATTTTTTTTGCCAATATGTAAGACAGAGCATTTATTTGTTGAGATTTGAAGTTGCTATTTGTTTGACCATTCTAATACATAGTCGAGGTCTTTTTGAAGGGTAGCAGTATTGTCTGTGGTGTTGAATAGCTTTATATCGTCAGCGAAGAGGACGCAGTTGCTCTTAATATGATCACAGAGGTCATTTATGTAGAGTATGAAGAGAGCTGGTCCTAGAACACTGCCTTGGGGGACACCACTGTTGACAGGTACAGAATTTGATATGACGCTCCCAATTTTGACCATTTGTTGTCTGTTTGACAGGAATGTTACTATCCAGTTATGCAGGTGTCCAGGGATACTATAAGACTTTAGTTTTAGGAGTAGTTTGTTGTGTATCACTGAATCAAAGGCTTTACAGAAGTCTATGTAGATTGCGTCTATTGCTTTGCCCTGATCGAGTTGTATAGTCCATATGTTTTTGCAGTGTAAGAGTTGCAGATTGCAGGATAGTTTTTTTCTGAAACGAAATTGTTTATTAGAGAGTAGGTTGTTTGTCTCTAAGTGGAGGATAATGGATTGGTTAATAATTGATTCCACGACTTTACAGGTGACACAGCATAAAGAGATTGGTCTGTAATTTTCAACTAGGCTGGGATCTCTCTTTTTGAAGATAGGGATGACTGTGGCTTGTGATTATATTGGCAAGGAGCTGGTCCTGAAAGATTTTTCAAAGATTATGCTTAGAGGTTTGGCTATGGCAGTGGGTAGCTTTTTTAAGAAGTAGGCACATATTCCGTCCGGTCCAATAGATAGAGGTGGTTTTAGATTGTGTAGTGCTTTTTCAACATTGTTTTCTGTAAAATCAATATGTATTAGATCATTGTAGTTGTCTGTGGTTTGACTAGGAAATACTAGGCATGATCCATTGCTGTTTACAAATACTGAGCCAAAGAATGTGTTAAAGAGGTTGGCTTTAATGGTGTCATCGTTGCAGTCTTTATCATTAGGTCCTTTCAGGGGTGGGATGGACCTTGAGTCTTTCAGTTTGTTGTTTACAAAATTGTAGAAAGCGTGGGTGGAATTGGTGCGTAGAAGGTTTTCCTCTTGTTTAATGTGATAATTGGTGCATTCAGTCTTTATCTGGTGGCATAAATTTTTGTATCAGCTTTTGAAGTTGGCAACATGACCAGATTTGTTTTTCCGCCAAAGTGATCACTTTTTGGATTGAAGCTTCCTTATTGTTATGGGTAATCTGTTTTTTCTGGTTTTTGGAGTTGTTATTGGTACATATAGTTTGATGACTCTTTTGACTTCAACTAAAAATATGTTGTAATGGTCTTCAACAGTATTGCATCCAGTGAATAGAAATTGCCAATCAAAGGATGAGAGATCGTTATCTATAAGATCATAGTTGCCTTTTTTGAAGTTACAATTGGGGATCACATCGTTGTGTTGATTTTTGTGTGGACATATGTTGAGACAAAAGTCAATCATGCTGTGGTCACTGTTGGAAAAGGGTTCTTTAATTTGTATTCCATAAATTGAATTCAAACTATTGCAGAAGATGAGATTGAGACAGTTGTTAAGTCTAGTATTGTTGGTTCCTAGTTGTTCCAATCCCAGATTTGTTACAGCATTGTAGAAGGTTGCATGTATGGGTTCAGTTTTACATTCGTTTAGGGTCCAGTTAATGTGAGGTAGACTGAAGTCACCAAGAAAGATAAAAGTGTGTGGGCAGGATGCTGTCCATGTTAGTAGTGAATTTATCTTGTTTACATGTTCGATGTCATAATCAGGGGTTCTGTAACATAGTAAGAATCAAAATGTGGTATTTAAGGACAGTTCACAGACGATGGTCTCAGGAAGAGCAAGCTCTTGGGTAACTTGGATGTTTTTTAGATGTAAGGACTTTTTATAGAAGGTAGCAACTTCACCTCCTCTATGGATTTCACGATCTGATTGGTAAACATGATAGTCTCTTACTGTGGTAATGGAGTCAGGGAGAGATGCGTTGAGCCATGTTTCACAGACAAATACGATGTCAAATTTAGCCATATTTAGTAAGAGGAGAAATTCAGGTATTTTATTCACAAGGCTTCTTGCATTGAGTAGCTTGCATTTAAGGCCAGTTGTACTTGGAATTGAGGTAGTTAGGGGTGTGCGTGCCTAGTTTTGAGTGATGATGGGTTGGATAAGGTAGGGTTGGATGTGGAGTTGTGGGTTGTGTGACTCACTTTTGATACAATTAGCGCAGTAGTCAATGTAGAGATCCTTCTCTCCATTGTCTAGATGACTTTTGAGTTCCTTGCGGAGTTCACGGGAGTGGATTCTTTGCAGTATGGATAAGTCTGGTCGAGCGAAGTTTTTTGTGGTTGGGATTGGTTTTTACAATGGCGTTTATTGTATGAATGAATATGCATTTGCTGGACTCATTTTTGCAAACAACTCTACAAATTTTGGGGCCAGCGAGCCATCATTGTATTTGGACTCAGGGCCATCTCTGGTTACTTCAATGATATCTTCAGGAGAGATGTTTGTTGTATTTGAGTTGCTTATGATATTACGAACTTTGGTGATGTCATCTAATTCGTTGGTGTCTTCAAGACCAAATAAGATGGCATTCAAGACCAAATAAGATGGCATTTGGATGGCATTTGGATCACGTTCAATTGTGTCTCTGATGAGTAAGGAGATATCATTTGTGGAATATATATTTGGAATCAACATAAACAAAGGCACTCTTATTATGGTTATCCAGCTTCTGATAACCTTTTGCCTGGATTATTACAGTAGGCATTATGGGATTGCCTTTGAAACAACAATAGATTAACTGATTGCAATCACACAGAAAAGACCTTAAGATTGTTAACTAGGACTGAAGAATGGAATCAAACCACATCAGTTCTTTAGCATATTTATTGTTTCGCAATCAGTTTCTGGATCCAGTTTCAAGTGCCTAAGAGTTTAAGAAATCACCTGTTTTCATTTTTATTTCATTGTGTAACGTATAACAAAACAAAAAGTAATAATTAATTTTAAAAGTACCTGAACAAAAGTGCATCATCTGCAAGAAATTTTGGGAGATTTGAATCTCGTAATGCTCTTATTAAAACAACTTCTTCATTCAGGTTTGGATGCTCTCTTTTTAGTGATCTAAATTTACAGAAAACAGTATTTTAAATGTATATTAACGTTAGTAAGTCAGTTGCATTAGATGTATATATAGGTAAATATATGAGTTTTATACTTCTTGTGCAATAACACTTTTGATGAATATCAATATTTGATAAGTACCAATCTTAGGGATTTGTAGTTATTAGGGAAGACCTTTATAAAACTCCTATACACATATGTATCACTAATGCAACTGACACACTAATGTTAATATAAACTTAAAATATTGTTTTCTCTAAATTTAGATCACTCGCTCATGTTTACCTTGGTGCTTTCAACACAAACATGAGCAAGTGATCTACATTTACAGAAAATGGTATTTTAAGCTTATATTAACCTTAGTGTGTCAGTTGCATTCAACATATATGTGTATAGGAGTTTTATAAAGGTCTTTCCTAATAAGTACAAAATCCCTAAGATTGGTACTGGATCCATAAAACACCTTTATTATATAACAATATCCTTTCTCTTTGCTAGTTGTTTTACACATTTTCTCTTTCACAATCATATACAGACTGCTAAAATAGATGAATAAAACCTTCATAAAAAACCCAAACAGTGGATTATTCTGCTTATTATATACCAAGTTCTAAATAACATTAATCATATTAGTGTAAAAATATACATTAAAGTGGTATTCACCAAAAGCAATATTACACATAACCAGAAATAATTTTATTTTCTATAAGTCTAAATCTAAATCTAAAGCTTTTCCTAACAATAGGGAAATGTATCAGCCTCTGTATACTTAGAGCTCCACAGAATTGCTACAACAATAGTTCCCATAAAATTGGACTTCATAGAACATATGAGAGCCAGTTTGGCCTATTGGTTAAGGCACCAAACTAGAAAGCTGGAAACCATGATCAAGTCCCATCTTAACCATGAAAGCCAGCTGAGTGACTTTAAGCTAGTCACTCTTTCTCAGTCCATTCCACTACACAAGGTTGTTGTGGGGAAATAGGAGGAGGAAGGTGTGTATGTTCACCACCTTGAGTAATCTGTAAAAATAAATAAAGGAATAAGTAAATATTTTACCCTGCCATGACCAACACAGATTTGACAGCTCTCATTCCAAAATCATAGTGGTCTTGTTGGGAAAGCTGTTCACTACAGAGTTTATACATCTGAGTCATCTTCCTTGCAAGTATTTTACTTGATTCAAATCCTTCAGAATACAGAATAACCTGAAATATAAAATGCATTCTTATAAAAGTCAGAAATCTTAAGCATAACTAAATAATTAGAGAACGTATTTGTTCTACTGATTAAGATGCTGGCCTAGAAACCAGGAAATTGTGAGTTCTAGTTCTGCCTTTGGCATCAAAGTCAGCTGGGTGACTTTGGGCCAGTCACTCTCTTTCAACCCAAGTCAGCCCATAAAGTTGTTGTGGGGAAAAGAGAAGAAGGAAGCGGTATTAGGTCATCTTATTTAGTACATATAGTATATATATTAAGTAATTAAAATGTTAAGAACAGATACATTTGATTTTCATGAAAAGGCTGCTAATTACAAACCCATTAGCCTGTTGAAGAAAGTATATGCCAAATACCTTTAATTAATTAAAATAGTTTTAACAATAGTAATAATAGTTTTGATTAATTATTACAACAATTGGATTGAATCCATAGTGAAAATATTCATGCTGAGGAGCAGGAAGGATTCAGATGGGATTGTTTGACCTTGGTTGGATCTGTTTGTTTAGCCTTTTACCATTTAACCAAAAAATATTCCTCCCTTCCCAAAGGCTCCCTTTTCACAACCTTCACATATTGCAAATTATGTTTTTAATTACTTCTAAGTGGGAGGTTTGGAAAAAACATTGTTCTAGTTTAGATAGATTGGCTGAGCTGTGGAAAAGGCGCAAGCAATCGAATGATGGACCTGCTCTACTACTGTTAATTGCTGCCTCTGGCACTAATAATAGGTATTGAAAAAGTACCTCTGCAATCAAAGCATAGTTTGGAACCATCATAGAAAATGGCCTGAAGAGTGCTTTTAGATTGTCAGGTAACTCAGTTCGTCCAGCATAGCCAGGATTCATAGTAATAAAAGCGGCACAAGTCATAATTAATTTGATTTCACGTCCTTCAAACATAAACCGAGTGACCTTTTGTAAAAGAAAGAAAAAGAAAGAAAGCCATTACATTTATATTTACATTCAAATTACATTATTCTTTATTTTAGTCATAGATCAGAACCTACATGAATACAGTATAATTATACATAAAACATAAGGTATTAATTTATATAAAATATAAAACCATAGTATCATAAACATGACAACAATAAAGCAATGCGTATGAAAATTAAAATATCCGGTTCAGCATTATTTCTTTCCATTATGTACATATTTCAATGTCTGTTCTGAAAAGTAAAAACAAAGGAAGCAATGTTTCAAAGTTACTCCAATCAGATAAGAACAGTTAATGTCTCCTATATTTCCTATAAATCATCACAGAATGTAGCTCACTGCATTTGTTATGTATAGGAACTGTTCAGCTGTAAAGATATTTAGCTAGTTTAAGCAAGTAGTAACTTGGAATGAAAGACACATTTATTTGATGTTCTATCTCATTAACTCGTTTTAGCATTTGGTTTAGAATGCCTAGGCCCTAAACCCATGAGAAATAGTTGTGAAAAGCCACATGAATTGAGTTTAGCTATCATGATAGTGCCATACAGAATGGCAGGAATCATTCAAAAGCAAAGGACAAAGCTAAAAGGCACCAGATTTAATTCTAATTAAAAATTAAATATGGCAGCCCAAATCTGCCTTGACTTTCAACAGAACAGTCTCAAGTCTTAACAGTGCACTTGGGAGCTTGGAAAGTAGATTTTTGAAATGCGGACTAGATCTCATCTAGAAGTACAATATAGATTGGATTCTGAAAAATAACTGAGAAGAGTATTTGCTTCAAAATATCCTGAAGGCACAAACATATACTGGGCATCTCTAGTTTGATAAAATAGCAGCAGATCTCCCCTAGGTATTTTGGGATATTAATATTGTGTTCCTTTAGGATATCAGAATAATGAAAAATAATGCTCAAGTAATTGAATCCTTGATGTTGCTCAATATCTCCCTTGTTATTACTTATTTACTTGGGGTATGGCTTTTGTACATTAAAAGCCAGGAAGCTTACAAGGTTATTACAGATAAGTTTGGCTGCCTAGGATTGCTAGTTTGTTTAATTCACACTTATGCCCTACCCAGGGTGCACTGCAGAGAGCAAACTAGCTCCAAACATAGAGTGACTAATAACCTTCTGTGGGAGTGTCAGCATCATCCAGGGTTTTTCTCCACCAATTTTGCCTCGTATTTGGGCAGGTCCAGTGCCACTTGGATTCTGTCATGCCCCTGGTGGAGACTGACTCTGAGGAAGAGGAGGAACAGCCAACAGGGAGTGGAAGTGTGGCTTCAGAGGTGGTAGAGGAGGCTGGGAAGGGCAGAGGCCGGCTGAGCAGTCAAAGGAGGACCCAGGCCCATCCCCTATCCATCCTAGGGCACGCAGGGAGGAGAGGACCAGGGTAAAATGTGGTCTACTTGGGAGGAGAGGGCCATGATCCTCTTCATGGGTTGCAGGTGTAAGATTTGCATAAGAGTTTGGACCTGCGAGCTAACAGACGCTGGAGACAAATTAGTATTTTATTCCTAAAAAAGGGTTAACTTGGTTGGTGTTCTTCCAACGGACTATACCTGGTTATCTTCCTGAAGTTGGCAATTATCTATCCTGGTCTGTCGTGGAACTTTATTCAGTGCGGTTTGTTTTTGGTTTTTGCTTCGTTATCGGCTCTTTGAATTTGAACTGTGTTTCTTGCCTTTGAAATGTTATTTTGAAAATAGTTTACTCCTCCACTGTGAACAATCAAACAGCGAAGCCAAGTTGAAGGCATTAAAGGACTTTTAGTTACCTTTTGGGTTTTGTTATATTTCTGATATACTCTGGGTCATCACAGTTTCTTGCTATTGCACAAAGCGCTGTTAGCTTCCTACTAGAATGGTATCTATTTATCTACTTGCATTTTTGCATGCTTTCAAACTGCTAGGTAGAAGCCGAGGTGAGTGATGGGAGCTCACTCTGCCATGTGGTACTGAGACTTGAACTGATGGAGTACAGAGACCCGCACTTTTCTGGCCAGCAAATCCAATGTCTTTAAGCTGCTGAGCCACCATGTTTCTTCTCCTTTGATTACAGATCAGCAATGACTTTTTCAGGGTGTTTGTAAAAACTGGAATGTTTGATATTTATCTTATTAGTACTCCACTGAAAATGACCATGTTCTCCTGAAACAAGTTTGTGGAGCAAATTACAACAGTATCTGCATAGAACAGAACTGCTAGTATTAATCAGCATCCTTCAGAGAATGAAAATCATGTCCTATTAATGAATTTATATAAAAATTTAAGAGGTATGGGTTAAAATGCTTCCCTCTTTCACTCTTCTTGATACAGAGAACCAAAAAATGCTAATTAATACTTATCTACCTATTGCATTTGAAAAAAAAACATGAAACATAGCATCTGTTACCTTTGCTGCTTTAGCATTCCTTATCGTAATCAGTTGTTGGGCAATAACAGACAGAACTTCAATATCAATTCGATTGAATTCATCAAAGCAGCACCATGCTCCAGACTGTGCCAAGCCACTGAAGAAACGCCCCATCATCTGAAACAACATGTACACACTGAAGTTATGTTGTCTCAAATGCTTATCCTCAGATCAGTTGTATTTCAAGTATCCACCCCTAAAGTGTGTAATGAGAGGGATGCGTACATCCAAGTTTCATGAGGTCTGTTTTATATCTCTGCAGCTCTTCATCAAAATAATAGAAGCCTATTTCAGATTTTCTCTGATTTGTTTGATACCAACTGGCTCATTAGCCCAAAGTAAATTAGGGCCTAATAAATTAAAATGCAAATCATAGTTTGCATAGTTGCATTTTAGGAGCCATGGTGGCACAGTGGTTAGAATGCAGTACTGTAGAATCCTTCCGCTGATTGCCAGCACTTCAGCAGTTCGATTCTCACTGGCTCAAGGTTGACTCAGCTTTCCATCCTTCCGAGGTTGGTAAAATGAGGACCCAGATTGTTGGGGGCAATATGCCGACTCTGTAAACCACTTAGAGAGAGCTATAAAGCACTGTGAAGTGGTATATAAATCTAAGTGATATAACTATTGCTTTAGTTTGAAGCTGATTTATGAACAATTTTGCGGGCTGCTATTGGACATTACATCTAAACTTGGTATTCTGGTTTAATGGTTACGGTTACATTGCTTTATCCCGACTTCAAAGAGAAATGTGAAGGAGAGACTCAAAACTTAGTCCATAAAACTAAGAGGCAGGTGTAGATGCTTTCATGGTTCTTGCCATCTTTTTTTAATGGCAACAAACTTCTTTACCCACCATGCTTCAGCACTCTTTCACAGCACTCTATAGCAACCAGGCCATGCTTTTTATAACTGACTGGATGATTTCATTCATAAATATTTATATGTAGATGTTAAAAGCATAGTTACTCTTAGAATCTATACCAACAGTTCAATAGATGCAATTACTGAGTGACCTAATAGACTTTGCTGTCATTTTCCACTCACTTTATGCTAACATTTGTCCATCCCTTTAGGGACCAGGTTAAACTTTTGTACTGACTGCCAACCAGTGCTTAAAAAAAAGGGAAACAACAAAATAGTTCCAAGAGTGACTAATGCCCTCTAAGGATTCTCTTAATTTGCATCAGTTCTTCATCCTTCCAATGATAAAAGAACTAGCAACGCTTACAAGTTCTGAGCAATGAGGAAAACATGTATGTAAATCAAGCAATTATGTATTTGAATATTTAAGGAGCAAATTCTGGCTTATGTAATAAATCAAGATTAGGCATGTCACATCTAAACAAAGCTACTGACCTCGCTATGACCAGTATGAAAGGGACTGAACAGACAGATAGAATAATCATATGATAATCCGATTTGCTGTAATTAATTCTATTAGAGGAATCATTAACCTGAGAAATAATTATCAAGGGCCATTAATGTTTTTAATTATTGGGGTTTTTTTCTACATAGTTTCAAACCCACTTTTTAATTCAATTCTCTCATTCTATTCCAGGTAAGGTGTCCAAAGATTGATCAGTTAAGCACTGGATGAAAATGACTGGCTCATGTTTGATATTATTATTATTATTCTACAGAAATTATCACTATGCTTTACTACAACCCCCCCCCCCCCCCCCCCATTCTCCTGTTTCTATAAGCCTACTTGAATGCCATACCTTGTAATCCAAGCCATCTGAACAGTTGAACACCACACACTGGATGGCAAGTGCTTTTGCAAGATCTTTAGTGGTCTCTGTTTTTCCAGTGCCAGCAGGTCCAGCCGGAGCTCCCCCTAGGTCAAGCTGTAAGGCTCCCATCAGGCAAAGATAGCAACGATCCTGATGAGTTTTAATGTATATTCAATTAACATGTGCACAATATTATCAGGAAATCTGAATATGACATAACTACAACTGCACAATTAGGTTGCAGCATCAAGTCATACAATAATTATATAGGATATTGATAGATCTCTGACTTAATTTTCGACTCTTGTGGGAAAGGAAAAGCAACTGGTTTCTTAAAAAACCCTTTTCTTGACTTCCAAATTCATCCCTAATGTAGTCCTGAGGCTAGAGGTTTTTTTTTTTCCTAGAATTGAAATCAGGGCACAGTAATTAATTTTATTTTTCACCTTACACTTAGTCTCATGGAGCTAGCCTAATCAATCTTATGGGACCTGTACTGTATTTATTTTTTCTGCTCCTTTATCAATGTTTTTATGCATTTTTTTTCTTTCCGGTTGGGGTTTTTTGTTGTGGGAAAGAGGGTAAGAAGTTCTAATACAAAGGTACTTTTAGCTGCAAGATCTACCTTGCGAGGGGAAAAAGTTTAGCCTCAAAGCTCTGGGGTGATCATCACTATCTCTCCATGTCATCAACCGTCACTCTGCCACTTTTAGCCTCTCTGTTTCCTCTGCCTTTTTTTCATTTTCCAAACCTCTCTTGTCACAGGCAATTTCCACTGAAATAATTTACCCATTGTTAGGGATAACATTGTTTACCCTAACTGGTTTGGGTAAAAATAATAAATATGGTATCATGGTTTGTTAGTTAAAGTGTATGTAACTTTAACAGCAAGAATGTAATTAAGGGTGTGGTTGTAAAAGCACTATATAAGAAGCGAGGCAATTCCAGCTCGCTCTCTCTGGCTTACTGATCACTAATTACTGAATGGATTGATGACTGCGTTCTTGCTGAAAAGGGGAGAGAAGAAGGAGTGTTGATTTTTCTCAACGGAGAGATAGTAAAAAGATTGGACTGATTTATTGTAAGTGAACTGACATTGGCTATTCAATACGGACTTTGCAAATAGAGTATCCCTGACAAGACTTGACTGAAATTGATATATGACTAATGGACCGTTTATTTGACTATGCTATAATTCTTAAATGGAATAAACTATATTCTTGATAGCACAAGCGTATCTGTATTTTTACTGCGTGTTAACTAGAAAACTTATCTCACACATTTACCTGTCTTCCTATCTGACTTCGCTGCAAATTCTGTTTAGTTTGTTTTCCTTAACACCCGTTGGGGAATCCAGGCTTAACACCCATTGCAAGAGTTAATTTCTTAAACTTTACAGGCAAGAAAATAACAGCAACACGTTACCGTGAGTGGCGTAATCACTAATCTTGGACATGCCCCCAAGTATTCATAGGCATAGGTATATTGAGATAAAGCCATTCTTGCCACACAGTTATCTAAATCGAGATCCCAATAGTAGCGCAGTTGTCTTTGCCAGTCAAAATTGTCCACAGAATCCACCTTGCCAAATAGTAGAAAATATTTATTAGGTTTTTTTTAAAATAGTAAATTTACACATATTATTTAAACAAAATTAATGTACCTTTTGTTTAACAAGTTCTGTAACAATGTCCCTTGCGTGTACATCAATAGTAATCAGTGCCGTTATGATATTTCGGTGAATTTTGGGAAGAATGCCACGGACTAGTGAAGCCAATGCATTTAGTCTCTGTGAAATGAAAGCAAACAAAATGTGCTGTGTCTTTACTTAACATAATGCCTGGCACTGAAAGGACAGGAATAGGTTAAAGCAAATGACATTGTATCCAAAAAGACCCTAGGAACCTTCTTGAATATTTTCATCAGCATTGAAGAACATTGTCGTGTTCGATATTGTTTCAGGGATCTCTGAGAAACAGGACATACATGGTTATCCATTCAAGAACTTCTCAGATATGTGAAAAAAAATTTAGTAGGCATTTCAGACTAAAATGACTTTATATAAAAAGACATCATCCACAATAATTATTTTGATTTTAAAATATTTCTACATTTTACATTTACAAAAGTATAAAATCATGCCAATATGTTAAAAAACAACTGAATACTCACATCAAAATTCTCATTTTCAAACTCTTCCAAAGCTACTAAATGATCATGATCTTCTCCTTCTAAACACTGAGTGAGATCACGACACCACATGAGCTGAGAAATGGTCAGTACAACCTATATAAAGAAAAAAAACACACCAGAATTCAGACAGACATATCTTGTGCTGGAGATGATATCTAGTTTCATTGTTCTGATTTTATAATTTAAACATTCCTGAATATTTCTATCACACAAAACTTAACTTTCAGAACCATTTTTCAATAATCTCGATACAGTAGGCTTATTACCCCACTGATTTTTACCACCAATTTGAACCCTTCTGAACTTGGTTCAGAATAAGCAGCTACATTTATTAACAGCCAACCTAGGAACACAGCATATTTATTTGCTAAATTTCTATCATAAAATGATAAAGTGAACTCAAGTATTGCCAAGGAGCAATATACTGAGATAAATATTCTAAGATAAAACAATGAGATGCTTGTGAACTTCAAACCATTAAAGAGTGTAATTTACCTGAGAAGGATGTCCAGAAACAACCCACTCCGTTCTTTCTCTAGTTTGATAATCGGCAATGGCAGCTTTGCTCAGTCGTCTAAGGGAAGTAAACATTGCTTCTTCAACTTTACCAAGCCAGTCTTCAACATTTCCTCTGGCTTTAAGTCCTTTTCCCAAGCCAACCTAAAAAAAGCAAACCTTCCATTCACTAGGAGGGTAACTTCCCCCACCCCCAGAATTCATATCACTCTTCATCCTCAGCTAGTGCCAGGTAGGCAAACTCCAGTAAATATAGTTTACTACAAAATCATTAATGATGTAAGTCATATTCATGCAGCACAAAATGGGGGGGGGGGGGGGGAAATGCTTCAAAAATTCTTTGTACAAAAGTTCTAGTTTCTGTTTAAATATTCTCCATCTCAAGTATGACTTTTTAAAATAACCGATTCCGCAATATTCAGGCATTTAATATTCTGTTTGCTCCAACACAGTACCAAAAAAGTGAATCCAGCATGGTTCTACTATGGTTCTACCAGGAAACCTAGTCTATTTTAAAAAGATAGAATCATAAAGAACCAGTTTAATTTACTTTCACTGGTATATGAATAATTACAATTCTTGCCTATGGGAAAAACTAAAACACCAGATACTAAATGGTACCCATACTATAGAGTGATTTTATATACAAAAATAGTGATTTTATATACAAAAATTCATCCACTCTTTATAGGTTTCTTGCAACATACCTTTTGGTGAATTATCTTATTTATAGTTATCATAGGCATTGGCATTTTCCTAGAATTTTTTTTTAAAAAATGCTTACCCTTTCACCTTCGGGGGACAGCATTGCTAGAATATCATTTGTGAGAACTTTCTCTTCTCCCTCAGCTGGTGCCATGTAGGCAAACTCCAGTTTAGAAATGGAATCAAAACATTTCCTTAAATGAGGCTGAACTGCTTGAGGATTGCGAGTTTGGGCCAATATTTCCAAGAGCTCATCATTCGATAAAAAGTAGAACCTTAAATAACATTAAAAGTTGTAAAATGCAAATTTAAATACAAATGAAGCCTATGTAATGTTTTATAAAATACATTTTATAATTATACTTATTAGTCTTTCAAAATTGGGAGGCCTTAACATGTCAATGAAAAAAAATAAAAAAGAACTGGGCAGATCATTTTAGGCAGCATTCCTGACTTTAGCTTATGAAAGTATAACATATTTCAATGGTACATACTTTTATTTAAATGTACAGAATGGTGTGAGATGGCCTTTAAGCATCTAATTAAATTCACTGTTTGCAATAAGTATCATTTTAAATGAAAAAAACCCCCAGCAATGATAATCCTAAACTGAACTACCGTGTTTCTCCAACAATACGGCCTCCACCAATAGGAAGGCCCAGCATGTTTTATCAGCATAAAATCAAATTAACCCCCTACCCCCAAATTAAGGCCTATATTAAACATGCGAAATGGGAGGGAATGGTGTGTGTGTGGGCTTCCTTCCCAAGTCCCTCCAGCCCAAACCCGAAGGGGCCACTGGGAGAGGCCGCCCGAGGCAGTGATAGCACCCACCCATCCATGGACAGGGAGGCAAGGCGATGGCCTGCGCCGCATCCTCCTCCGAGCTGAGCCCCGCCAAGTCAGCGCCTCTGCCTGATGCCCATTCCGCTGCAGCGTTTGGAGCTGCCGGCGCATTTGGAGATGCGTGGGGACGGGGACGGACTGGGTGAGGGGTGGAAAGGACGGGCAGCTTCAGGCTTTCTCCGCCGGCCTGGGAAGCAGCGCTGCCATCACCTCGCCTCCCTGTCCGTGGATGGGTGGGCGCTATCACTGCCTCAGGCAGCCTCTCCCAGTGGCCCCTTTGGGTTTGAGCTGGAGGGACTTAGGAAGAAAGCCAAGCTCAGGTCGGCCCGGCTCTTTTGCTTGGCAGGTGGGCGCACACCCGTGGCTCGCTTTCCTGGCTCTGCCCAGCCCACATGGCTCTGGCGTGGCCCTGGCAGGATAAGCGGAGGGTCCGGCGGGGAGGCGCTCGCTGCCTTGGTGAGAGCTTTGCTGCCGGAAAGGAGGGCCTGCCTGTCAGCTGCGCTGGGTGCCCCAGGCGAAGCTCTTCGTGCTCTTCCCGGCGCCAGGCAGGGATGGCGGCTGGGCGCTTCTCCCGAGGTGAGCTGATCCTGCGCTGCAGCCTCGGAAGATTCACCTCCCCATGTGGGGTTGGGCTGCCCTCTCGGGCAGGGGAGTCTTTGTTGTAGTAGGGCGTCGTTTTTAAAATAATTGGCTTTACCTTTGAAGGCAAAGGGAAGGCAGCGACAGGAGCTGCCTGAAGCTGAGTGTCTCCGCCGGGCTCCGGTTGCAGGGAGGAGCCCTGGCTGGCCGCACGTGGCTGTGCCAAATGCCATGGCGTTGCTCTAAACACCGCGGCAGCAAGGGAGAAGGGAAAGCAACGGTGGCGGAAGGTCTCCCGATACGAAGTGTCCCACCAACGCTGAGGTCAACATCCAAGCTGTCGCTGCCCGCCCACCCAAGGATGCAAGGGGGGGGGGAATTAAGTCACCGCCTAAAAGACGGCCTAGCTGTTTTTTCGGGGGTCAAAAAAAAATAAGGCCCGGCCTTATTTTGTGAGAAACACGGTAATTAAGTCCTAATTACTTTCAATGGAAGCAAATTATCTCTTTCTTTTAAATCAATGAGATTCAATATATGTAAACTTTGCCAGGATTGTATTCCCGGCTAATAAAGGATAAAGCAACAGAACAGATGACTTAATTATCTTATTACTGATTCTTAACTAACCTTGGGAAAATGACTCTCTTGGATTCCAAATAGGCCTCCAGACATTTCTGAATCTGATCAAGAAGAGCATTATTATTCTGAAAGGTCTCTAAAAGGCCTGTGTGAGAGAAAAATAATGGATAAAAGTGTAAAATGAAAACAGGTAAAATGAAAACATCTACGTCTCAGGATGAACCTTAGCATATTCCTATATTTCAAGCCATGTTATCCTATGAGATGCAGTCTTTTGAAATATATTAAAAAAAATAGATTAAGTATTAATTTAACAATACACAAATATGTGATATGAACAACTTTTGGATCCTACTCAGGTGAGTCTAACCTACAAGGAATGCTTTTATTTATTGAATATTTACTGATTGTAGTGCTGAGGGTGTTAAGAATTTAGTTAGAAATCCTGAAAAATATATTCTAGAAGAAAAAGGAAAGAACAGTAAAAACACATTAAAGACGAGCAAGGGTTTATAAAGGAATAAGCAGTTTTCAATCAAAATAAGATCAGAATATGTAATGAATTGTGCATACATTATTTGACAGATTTCTGGTGTTATGAGTAGATGTGGGAAACAAGATATGTGGCTGCCTTTGAATGGAAGGGATACATGGTTTAATGCAAACAGCACGTAATTTAGACATACTATATTATTACCAGGCTGAGTAGCAGCACGGAGGGCGTTAGGCAGTCGATTCACTTTTCTCATAACTTCCTTCCAAGACTTATCTACTTGTAAAAACATTTTAGCTTCTGCCGGCAACTGTCTTTGAATATCAGGAGCACTGAAAATGCTTTCTAAATAGAGCCAATTCCTCTGACATGTCAGCCATTCCTCCTAGCAAACAAGAAAGGTAGGTGTAAAGGTATCAGAAAAATGTTATTCACAACCTTTGGAAATGCTCCCTGTGTGCAACAAAAATTTACACAGGGCACACTTTACACATATAATGGGTGCTTTCCCTCCACAAATGTATGAGTGTGGATACTGGTTCTCAGGCAAAACTGCCACCTATCTATTTCAGCAGAAATAATGGAGAAAAAAACTCTTTCAAAATCTTTTTATAGTGAAATTATTTAATATTCCCTGAAATTACTTTATTTACATCTCTTCAAGCCTTTGATAAAGAAGAACCAATCCCACTTGACTGATGAATTATTTGTTAGATCCTTCAAGAGCTCAAGATAGTACATTCAGCATTTTCCTCATAACAGGCCCTGTGAGAATGGGTTGAGAGATAGTAACTGTTCCAATGTCATATCATAGCTAAGAGAGGACCTGAAGTTGGATCTCTTTGAATCTAGTTGAATATTTTAATTATGATCTATGTGAGCTTCTTAAATATTAACATTCTATAAGATATTCTTGTACAATAAAGTAAAGTATCCCTCAAGTTAAGCTTGACTCTGTGACGTTATCAGGGTTGGTTTTTTTTTTTTGACAACAATCAGAATTCTTCTAGAATTAGAATTCTTCTAATTCTTCTAGTTATAAGTGAGGTTACAGCCTTTCATTTTCCCATTGACCTCCTTTTCAAATTACTAATTGGTCTGACCCAACTTTGCTTTTTCGAGATTAGCTAAAATGCTGCCAAGTGAGCTGTGCCCAAAATGAACTAAGCGCGTATTAAATAACATTGTCAACATGATATCTTTCTTTTAAGACAAACTTCAAAATTTAGAAGAAATTATTTAAAAATGCGGTACGTACCAATGTCTGATTGAATAAAGAGAGCTGCTTCTGCCATTCATCAACTCGTGGCTTGAGAGGGCCTACGTACCGTGAAGAAGCAATTGTTGCTACATTAATAGTACTATCATCTAGAATAACCTTAAAGGAAAAGTAAAACAACATATTCATTTCTGTTAGGTGAAATTCCAGTAATACATGATAGTTCAATATTTCTTGTCTCAGGACCACCTCCCACTTTTAAGAATTATAGAGGACCTCCAAAAATTTTTTGTTTATATGCGTTACAAAAATCAATATTTATCTGCAGGGTGGACCTGGACCTATGTGGGCCTCCCCCACTCCAACTTACGACTGTTATTATGGGCTCAGTGGAGATCATAAATTGAGGGCTATCTGTATCTATTATTGGTTGCACACCACCGGAACAAAAATAGCTTTGAAAATGGATTTCTCTACATTATTATCCACTATCTAGATAAGTTAGCACTGCATTGTGTTATGGCTTCCCCGGATGCTGGCTTGGATGACAAGGAAGAGGTGGCTCTGGGGACTTTGGAATGAGGTATGGAGGAGTGTCAGGAAGAAGCAGGGAATTCTGTATGCAGCAGGATGGGCAAGAGGAGAAGAGGCCAGGAACATCGTAAGGACAGTTAGGGGAGCAGCTGGATAAATGCCTGGCTAAAAAGGAGAAAGAAGAGACATAGCTGCAGCCAGAAGGCTCAGATAACCAGCCAGAAGTGTGGGGTAGAAAAGGGATGCAGCAGCAGTCAGTTAGCAGGTATGAGAAGAAATTGCCTCCTCCACCAGATCCAGGGTGCACAGGCCTGAACAGAGAAGGCCCAATGGGGTTGACAAGTCTATTCACATGGAGGCAGCCTCACCCCTCCTAATGAGCTGTACTGGCTGACACAAAGCAATGTTGGAAACAACCCATCCATTTCCGTGCATGTGCTTCGACTCTATGACTTCTGTTTCCCTGATTCTGGACTTTTGCCTTTTTTGCTGAATTCGTGGCTGGACTTTGGACCTTGGATTTTGGACTTAGGCTTTAGTGTTGTGTACTGTGCTCGGATTTTGGACTGGTATCTTGACTTCAGACCTTTTGTGCGGATTTATGGACTTGTTCTTTGCCCTTGGACTTGATGTTGCTTGGACTCATTGGGAATTGAATTTTTTTTTTCATGTGAGCGAGCCCTAGGGAATAATGTTAGGGGCTTTCAAAGACCCAGCAAAGACTTCAAACCCTCTTTGTGTGTGTGTGTGTGTGTGTGTGTGTGTGTGTGTGAGAGAGAGAGAGAGAGAGAGAGAGAGAGAGAGAGAGCAGGAGAGAGAGCAGGAGAGAGAGAGAGCAGGAGAGAACACACTGTAAATACCGGAAGAATTATGTTTTCTCACTGAGGCTTGGTATGCTTGGCCAATAAAATACAAATGGTAAAGGTATTAGGGATCAATAGGCCAACAAAAACAAATTTTTATTTTAAAGCTGGTTGATCTAATTGCACCTATGTAGTCTCCAATAGGGAACTGTTCAGTGAGAAAACAGAACAGCCTGCTATCTGGACTGAATATCTTATGAGTTTTTGCCAGATTTCTCAATCTGGACAGAATAAATACAGACCGTTTGCTTTAAAAGCTAATTTAGACAAAAATAGTTTCTAACCTGAATGTCATCTGTGCCACCAAGGATGAAAACATCTTTTGAATCACGATGAGGAATTACAACGAATTCTGTTGTTTTCCAGGCATCTTCCACCTGGAAGAAAAATATAATACAATTCTGAATATAATTTTGACAAACTAAATGCATTCATACCACATAAGCTTATTAGCAAACAAACAGCATGCACAGCTAACAATATGAATGCCTCCATTTATGGTTTGTTTACACAATTCATACACAGTTGCCTGGGATTATCAGTGAACCTGCTAAAAGGAATAAAGAAGGGCAACTATAGGCTTCTCCATCACCAACAAGTTTGTTTATTGGTAAAATGGATCCTCATGCATAGATAAAGTTAGCTGTTGAACGAATAAACATACAGGTAGTCCTAGACTTATGATTGCAATTGAGACCAGAACATCAGTTGCTCAGTGAAGTGGTTGTTCAGTGAGTTACACCTGATTTTATAACCTGTTTTGCCATGGCTGTTAAGTGAGTCACCTCAATTGTTAATTGACTCACATGACTGTTAAACGACTTTTCCCCATTGCTTTTGCTTGTTAGAAATTGGCTATTAGAGATAACGTGACCGCAGGGCATTGCAATCATCATACATACTTGCCAGTTGCCAAGCGCCCACATTTTAATCATGTGGCCACAGGGACACTGGAAAAGTTGTAAGTATGAGAGCAGGTTGTAAGTCATTTTTTCAGTGGCACTGTAAATGGTTGTTAAATGAATAAGTCAAGGACTACCCATATACATAGGAGGAGGGGGAAAGGGGAGATGGAACAAGAGCTAAGAATCATTTTCAATTTTGCCCATAAGAAGCAAAACAAACAGAGAAGAATGCTTGACAAATTACTATTTAGAAAAATCCAGTTTGTAACAGTTTATCATAAAATCTCAGATAGCCACATTGGCATCATGACAACTATTATGTTTGTTCCTTTTCTGATTCCCTTATTCATGAAGTTTCTTCTACTGATGTGACTACTGTAATTCAAGCAGTGGACTACTCAACGTTTACTTGGAAGAATGTTGTAGTCTCCCCAACATCGTATTAGAGATTGTTAAACTCCAAGTGAGTTCAATAAATATATTATTAAAGCTTTAGTATAACCAATCAATACAATGTATTTCAGTCCAAGATTAGAGGTTTGTATTAAAAAATACCTTTTTGAGAATAATCTCCAGAGAAGCTTCTCCTGAAGCTTGGCCAGAAACATCCTGAATCTCCTGAGTATATTCAAAAGCACTGATCTGAGTAAGTCGCTCCAAGGTTAATGGATTTTCCAGGTCTATTAATGGTGCACCAACTATTTGTTCCAGAGTTATCCAGTGTCTAGGTTTCAAAAAAGGATTTCTAAGATCTGTGATAACTGGAAGCTGAAAGAATGAAAAGTGTATCAATACAGCTCAATTCACACCATTTTCCTGTTTCAATGAATAATCGGATTAACCAACAGGCTGTTACAACGTAATAATAAATTATGATGTGTTCCATCCAATCTAAAGAGATGACTAACCCATAACTTTCCAATATTTTAAATACATATTTAAATATAATATTTTATTTGGATTTCTCTATCTTTTTCTTCTATATCAACATTCATATCTGTATTATTACATACTATGTTTTTTTGAATTTCTGTGCTAACATAAATAGTTTGCTAATCATGCAAAACACTATTTATCCTTACTCTTCCAACTTGGTCAATATAAAATGTCCTTTATGCTGGCCCACAGGCCCACCTTCAGTGCATCTGAGCCTCCATAGGCTAACAAAAATCTCTTTATCCCACTCCTCAAATAGAAAATAATAATGCTCCTTACTTATTCTTCCCATTCCATCTCATGCAGGATCAACCATGCATTTGCCATTATTTGTCCACATAATGCAGGTGCTATAAAAATAAAATCTCTTCTAATGGGGTGTTTTATGTAGGATAGTGGTAAAGGAAGAATATTTGTTAAAACTGCATAGGAAGTTTTCTGGATGGCTGCAAGTATACTGTCCTGGTACTAAACATACTAAGCCCTCATGAGCAGTGTTGGTAGAAGAGAAAGAAGAACAGTTCTAAATGACATATTAGCAAACAGTAAGATGTGGCAGCTCCATTTATATGAAGCTAATGCACAACTGTGGAGTGGGGTAATAGAAGAAATTGATTGCAAAAGCTGCAACATCCAGGTTTCAGAAATTACATTCTGAACCTATGTGCAGGTATGAAAAACGAGTTTGCATGGCCAGAATTGTTTCTCATAGAAAATAAATCTATACATGGATTACAGAAGGTGCTGAGTTTCCAGATGGCAGAATGTTGATTCCAGCATAATGAATTTCTCTTGCCTTTTCCCACTTTCTCCCTTTTGGTCTCCCCTATACAATTATAAGTACATGAAAAGTAACCTCTTTGGGATATTCATTCTATCCAATGAAGAAAGATGAGATATTTGAAGTTAGTATGAAATACAATTTAGTCTCAAATGTATCAAAATATATTTTGGTTTGGATTACTGAAAAAGACTAAAATGGCTAATCTCTTTGCTGATTTTTAAATTATGTGATTAATAGGAAACAAGAATTTAGATATCTGAATATGCTCTAGATCACATCCTGCTAGCAACTTTATCATGCTACAATAGAACTCTGTTAACTAGCTATTATGCTATTAATCTGATCTAAAAGTAAAACTATGGCCAGCCGTTTAAGTCAAAATTGATGTAATATTTATTAATTCTTCTACTCATTTCTTGATTTATTCAACATTGGATCTTGCTTCACTATTTACTCTGAAACTCCTTACTCATCTTTGTCTCTTTAACTTTGAATGTAACATTGTAAACATGAATCTGACATGATGAATATTTCTGTATAAATTTATTTTCTTTTAGAAACTTTCCTAATTCATTGCCCGTCTCACTTTTTTTAAATTTGAAAATATTTCTTTATATTACATTTTCAAATGGCCCTTTGTACCTTTTCTTTCATTTTCTCCACCTTCTCCTTGAGTTGTGGGACAACATTATTAGGTGGCAAGCCTTTTTCCAGCTGATTCACAAATTTAGCATATTTGGAAACTTGACCATTCAATAATTCTGGATCCAAGCTATCAAATTTAGACTACAAAAATATGTAAGTAAAAAGATATTAGTTAGAAAACTTCCTTAGTATATATAAGAAATTTACTTTAAAATAATCTACAAAAACCAAATCTAATATAGATATAAGCAGAGAGAGAAAATACTAGCTTTAGTGAAGTCAGTAATCTTACTTAAAAGTAAACCTGAGAATTAAATTAAGACCATTAAATTACCATGTATTTCTTTTTTGAAAGAAGTTTACCCCATAGAACAATGGGGTACCTGGTCCATCCTAGAGCATGAGTATGAGATGAACCCATTTAGGATAAGAACCCTTTTTAATGAACCATATAGTTTTTGGTCTTTGGTATTGTTTTGTTTTCTGTTAGTTATTTTATTATTTTGTACTTTGGTCCTAGATATTTGTGATGCTTTGTTTATAGTTCTTTTGCTGTCGTGCTTCAATACAATTGTAATTTATTCAGAGTTCCTTTAAAAAGTTAGGAAGCCTCATAAAATAAATTGATTTGACTACCATAAAAAGGTCTATCTGGTGCTGCCCTTTAAAAAACTTATATAATACAGTTGGTCCAAAACAACAGCATCCTATGTACTTTCTGGCTACTGTTGTTAGCTGTATATAGCCTAGATTTTGCAGGCTCTGCATTAGTTACTATTTCGTTTTGAAATACAATTTAACGTGCTTTTTCTAATCTAATAATGACCTTTATGGCTTGGCCCTTTAATACTTTCATATCTTTTTTTTTTAGTTGTTCTCCTTCAGACCAAAGTAACTTGAAAGCCAGGGAACCCAAAGAATAATTTAAAAAGATAGTTTACTTCAATTTGGTCTATAACATCTCTGTCTCCTTTTAAAACCAAAATTTTCCAGATTGTTAAATCTGCACATTTACATGGATAACATTAAATTCCAATATATATAATTTACCTCCATCCAATCTTCCTCAAGTATTGACCATTCAGAAAGAGAGTCCCACAACAGTTGTTTCAACTTCAACTCTGCACAAACTTCCTCCAAGGTATCAAATTTTGTTATGTCCACCTTTCAAAAAACAATTGAAATAATTGAGTTACATTCATTTGAAGCCCATATGTTGTAAAATATGACACATATTTAAAGAAAATCTACAATACTAAATACTGATAAATCGGAAGAGGAAAGATCAATCCATTTCAAACAATATATGAATCTGATGCTTCAGATTCATAAATCATGATTTCTGGCTTGGGTTGTTTTTTTTTTTTTAAATAAGGCAGCATTCTTTGGAGATAAAATTAAATGGTAACTACCGTATTTATCGGCGTATAACACGCACTTTTTTCCCCCTGAAAATAGGGGGCAAATGATGTATGCGTGTTATACGCCGATATAATGTTAAGAAGCCTTCGGTGAATGCTGCTGGGATCAGGGATCAAGGACACAAATGAAAGAAGGGGAGGGAGGAAGCAACCGAAGCCTGTCCTTCTCTCTGGGTCAGCTCTCTCAGTCGCTCTCTCGCTCCTCCACCAGCACAGGAAGAAACTGCTTCAAAGAAGCGGGGGGGGGGCTTTTCCTGTCGCCTTTCTCCCCCACCCCGTCCGCCCGCCCGCCCGCCCGCAGTGCTCCGTTCTGCCTGCCTGCCTGCCTTCGTTAATGGTTGAATCGGAACAGCTTCGGCTGAGTAAAAGAGGCGAATAGTTATTATTCTCAGCCGAAGCTGCTCCCAAACAACCAGAAACTAAGGCAGGCAGGCAGAATTTTTTTTAATTTTTTTTCCTGAAATTTCCCTCTTAAAATGAAGATGCGTGTTATACGCCTGTGCGTGTTATACGCCGATAAATACGGTAAGTCTCTATCCTAGTCAGAAAGCAGAGGAAAGAGAGAAGAATGAATGTGAGACTACAGTAATGCTTTGTTAGATCCATTGCAGCTTGTGCACATATTGTATTATTAAACCATGCCTCAGAATAAGAATGTGCAAAAAACTGAAGAATAACTTGTTTTGTGCTTAGGAAACAGCTCTACTTGAAATATTGTATAGAAACATCCAGCACTGCCTACATTTTGACAAGGTAAACTTGAAATGGTTTTCTTTGTTCACTTGGTTTGCATGCCGAGATCACAGAAGAGGTAACATTTCATTTTACTTCCATGACTGCAATCTGCAGTCACTGTTGTAGTAATCTTTCCATTTGCAACTCAAAATAGTGGTAACACTGGTGTGTAAAACATATATCAACACGAATTTTGGCATTTAGCTGCCTTCCTTAACTTGTATTTATTTTTTTCATTGCTTTTTCTTTTCTATAGGCAAAATTACTTGTAGACAGCTCATACAAACTCTGACTACTGACCTATAAGAACTCTAACTTCTGTATTAAAAACAAAGCAGTCATTTAGCAGATAAACTGGGATTTGCAAACAGATTTTCTTGAAACATTGTCAACAGTAGCAGGGATGTAATTGCCTGTTGTGCAATAATAGTTAGACAGGGGAAAGATTGAAAAAAAAGAACTATGTCATGGCCACAATACAACAATTAAGTATTGAAAAACTATTTATTTAATTTATCAAATTTATTTGCCACCCATTTCATGGTTCAGGCGAGATGTTTTACAATGCATACAATACTATGTATTGTAAAATAATGTACTGTATTTTAAAGAAAGATATATGATTGATTTTACAACTTCATAAGATGGATGATAAAAAAAAATTGTTTGCACATGTTTGAATTAGTCCAGATGTAATTTAAAACATATTGGTTATCATGGGACTGTGGTGATTCCATACGCTGCTGTGAATTATAAACGAATATTTTTAATTAAATGTGGAGTTATTCACTACACATTTACAAACTGCATCCAGTTATCAAAGCTACTTCTGTATTTATCTCTTGTAGCCTTGTTCATTTCACATTTATTGTGTGTAAATAAATATTTGTTTGGTTACTTCAATGCTTTCACATAACCCAGAAATGTAAGTGCTGAATAGAATACAGAAAAGAAATGAAAACACTACCAAACCCCTAATAAAGAAATATTTTTATTATTAGAGAGAGACCCTGGATAGTACATTATAAATGTATTGTATTCTGTTTAGCGCTGTATTATAAGAACCAGTAGGACTGAGTGATACAGTGAAAATCAAGAAACCATTTGCTATTGTTTCAATAGAACTGTTCTGGAATATGCAGAATCAGAACAATAGTCTCATTAAATAAACTAAATAAGCGGTTCTTATGAATTGAAGCACTCTTTCCTAAATCTTATTTTATCATTCTGTGCCTATGAAATTGATTAGGCTCAAGGCATTCAATAGTCTATCACAGAGTGGAAATTTGAACCTGTCCCTCCTATTGCAGGCCAAGGCTACCATTATATATACACACCATCTCATACATCATAGGACTTGTTTGGTTTTGCAAATCATAATTTAAACATTCATCTACAAACCAAAATGGAATTGTGGACAGATTACCTTGAAGTTTTTCTGATAGGATTTATACTGGAATGCCCGCTTTTGTATTTCATCAAGAATGGCCTGCAACTCACTTAGAATTACTTTCACTTTGTCTTGATCAGCATCTGCATCCAAAATCTGAGGATCCTATTTAAAAATAAATAAATCAAAAGTCATTTTATGATCAGCTATCATTAAGGTTACATATAAATGTTGTACATCAAACCATAAAATTAAATTCAGTGAGGAGACAGATTATATTCAACGTCATAGTACAGTGTAAATGCAATTAATTTTTTCTGCTTGATTTAATTCTTACTACAAAAAGCACCAAGTAGCACTGATCAATTTTTCTCTGTTATCAACTGGAAAAAAAGAGGTAGGCAAGTATTTGGTTCAATATCTGATAAAAGAGCAGCTCAGTTGAGCAGGTATACATAATAAATGGATGGCTCTCAACGACTCTTTCACCTTTTGCTCATGGCCCTGATTTCCCAAGAAGGAGTTAGAGGGTGCACAGTACATACTGTTCAGCCTTCAAATTCTATCCGGTTCTATCTATTAAAAGTGGGGCTGTAAAAGTTTTCCTATCACTTTTAATACCCTGTTTCTCCAACAATATGGCCTCCCCCAATAGGAAGTCCCAGCATGTTTTATAGGCATGAAATGAAATTAAGCCCCTCCCCTCAAATTAAGGCCTATATTAAAACATACAAAATGGGGGGGAATGGTGGGGGGGCTGGCCGTTAGGAAGTACTTTTGTTGCACACCCGGACATGGTGCTGCTTGCGTTGACCCCGATACGAAGTGCCCCACCAACATCGAGGTCTACATCCAAGCCGTCGCTGCCCGCCTGCCCGAAAATGCAAGGGGGGGGAATTAAGTCACCCCCGAAAAGACGGCCTAGCCATTTTTTCGGGGCTCAAAAAAAAATAAGACCCGGCCTTATTATATGAGAAACACGGTATGTGCATGCCATTAAAATAGATTTTTCTGAGCGAAATCAAAGCTAGCCATATTTCTTCATTTAAAACCCCAAACCCATGTGGAATACCCGATTTATGAGGTTCCTTATACCAGATCCATTGGTATTTTCTTGCTTCTTAGTCAAAGACTTTTCGTTGCCTTTTTACCCAAGGCATCTTTTTTTAATATCAGATGTTAACTCTGAGAATTTTTGCTGGAGAAGTATAGTTCTACCACATATTGTGGCTTTTGAATTCATCTTGGGTTTAGCACACCCAACTACTGAAACTAATAAGGGTAAGTAACTAGTAAATAGTAACAAGAATTACCGGTATATTATGAGAAGACTTGCAAATAGAAATAGAAGGACTGTGGCAAGAGAAAGCACAAGTAGTACCAATAGTAATAGGTTCCTTGGGTACAATCTCAAAATAACTGGAGGTCCATTTGAACATTGATCATCGGTATTGACAAAATCATCACCAGTCAATTGTAAAAGGCAGCTTTACTTGGAACAGCTTTCATCCTGTAGCAATAGCTTTAACACTATCAAACATGGACATCTGCTTATCTGACAGGTGGATAAAAATGCCAAATCCAGTTTAAACTTCTGGATGACTGTGACAAACTATAGTTCAGTAATATAGGAATACAAAAAATAATTAATTTAATACCTGTGCTAGAAGTCTAACTTCTTTAACTTCTTCATTCAGATCATGAACATCTTCATCTAGAAGCTGGCAGAATTTAATAATGCTGGCATCTCTTTCACCCACAGATTTATCAATTGCATTACGAACAGCAACAATAGAGGGCTTCAAACTTGAAAACAAAGCGAAATCTTCAGGAGGTGTGGGTATAACATACTGTTCAATAAGCTGATACATCTTAGAAACCACTTTTGATTCATCTTCAAGAATTTCAATCTGAGGGAAGATAGAAACAAATTATTTTTCCATTTTGTTCGCAAATACTCTGACAGGTTATCTTAAAACTCTTAGTGAATCGAAATTGCTATCAAATGTCACTTTAAATACAGGGCAGAACCTGATTTTAAAATTGCACAAAGAGATTGACCTTACCTGCTACCTACATAAAAATCAAGTTCAAATGCACTCATTCTTGCTCTCACTCCCTCTCTCCAGATTACTTGCACAACTGAGAATCATCAGTACACTTACCACAAACTGGGAGATCACTCCCAGTAGTTTCATATACATACTATATAACATGAAGAACAACATTTGTTGTGTTGCACACGTCCTTGCCTCTGGGTCATGGGGGAGACCTTCCCCCATTGGCCCCCAGGATGAGAGAAAAGAGGAAGAGAATTGGATTTCTTTTGTTCCTGGGTCATAAGCACAGTCACAGTTTTACTTAACAACCACTTCACTTAATAACCGAGTTTCCAATTGTGATTGCAAAACAAGTGCTACCTCTATTAGCTAAACTGGGTATAAACTCCACTGATTTTGCTGTATTTTTCCTCTATTGCATCTCTTCCAACATCCTGCTGTCCTCCAAACATTTTCTATTTCACTTAGTGCCAACATAGCCAATGAAAGATGTTGGAAACATCTGGTGAGCACTAATTAGGCACTGCAGATGTGAAGGAAACTTACTCTTTGACAGGCCACACAACCAGTTGTGATACATAGGTTTCATGCCCTATTTATTTCAGCTAGGATGTACTGCAAGACTAGATTTAGATATGCACATTATATTGTACCTATCTCCCAGGAAGGCAAATATAAGAGAACACAATTACTACCCGGATCAAAAGGATCTATTTGATTTCTTATGAGAAACCGAATAGTTTATATGGGTTTCATTAACTGTAGATAGAGTATCTAAAAGCAAGCAAAACGCATCTGGCAATGGCAGCAAAATGAAACTTGTTAACTCATGCTACTTAATAAAAACAGTATCGTGAACTTACCCTATCTTGTATTTCATCAAGGAATGTCAAAGTAACCACATATTCAGTAGTTGTACTTGGCAAAAACTCAAGTTTAAATTTAGCATCATTTGCCTCAACGAGAATGGTGTTCACTTTTTTCTTTGCAATGACAGGAAGCATCTCATTAATAACCTAAATGCAAAAGAAAGCATTAAAAGCATTAGTAAAATTAGAAAAGGAAAAGTAACATTTAGATAAGAATTTACATAACATGAAAGTATTCTTTAGTCAAGACTATGTAGCTTATAATGAGTAAATGTCATGTCATGATTAAATGGATGTAGGGACTTTGGGCAAGTCACTCTCAGCTCAACCCACCTCATAGGGTTGTTGTGGGTAAAATGGGAGAAGGAAGTTGTGTTGGATAGATTCATTAGCTTAAGGTGTTTGTAAAAATAATAAAAGCATGATATAAATAAACAAAATAAATAAAATTTCAGTTCATAATGCATTAAATTGACAATAGAGTTTTGGAAAATGTCTTCTAGTTATTGGAAATAGAAGTCAATACCTACCACACCCCAAGGGACATCCCTGATTTCCCAAACACTGTTTTTAAATTATTACAAATAACTAAAATTGTGTTTGATTTCAAAATTTTGTAAGATCTCAAAGGACATTTGAGATAGAACATTTTTTCAGGATTTTGTTCAAGAATACAAAAATGTCATGAAATTGCAGCAAGGTATGAGATCTTGTAAAATTTCAGTTATTCTGGAAGGAGGAATGCCCAAGCCACCATATGAGACTGACTCTGCTCCATAGAATTTTCTTTCCAAGCTTTTCCAGAGTTCAGTGCACAATTTTGAGACACTGTCTTAACCCAACCTTAACCCAAGGTTATTGTAGAGACTAAATGAGGGGACATTTCTATTAGCTTTCAAAGAAAAGTTGGGATATAAATCAGTAATCAATCAACCAATAATCCATATATCTTTGCAGTTACATTGTCTCTCTCTCTCACACACACATTTTTCTGGAAAATCCCTTTAGTATGCAGAAACTTTCTTGTTTTTTTAATTGGCCCCATTTCATTTCTAATCTGGTATGGGTAACATTAAAAATGAAGTTAAAGGGCAATGTAGATTTACCTCCAAACAGCGCTTTGGTGATGGAATTAGTTTGTCTTTCAACTTTTTACCATCTATGAGGAACAAACCTAATGATCTCTTTTGTTTTATTGCCAAAGCTTCTTTGTGTTGTCTGTGATATTTCTCCAGTTGTTCAGCAAAAAATTTAACATCTGTTTATTTTAAACAAAAGGATACAGTTAGTCATTTACAGATGGCTTGGGGGTAAAAACTATATTGTATTTCCTCATGGGAAAGAATACAAATACATTTCCCCCTTTTTATTTAGAAAAAAGTTTTTTTTTAGTGATGAACAGAGATTATTCAAAATGGGTTATCTTCTCCTGTCTGGTCTATAGAGTGTTTTTACAGAAATAAACAAATGCTTATTGTGTATGAAAGCAGCCACTGACAATTCCAGAATGTTATAAAACCTAGACATAAACAATCTCCTCAACTCAGCAATACAATTTCAGAGAAGTGGAAGGTTTTAAGGCCAGACATTTGCTTAACAATAGCGAGGGATTCTGTTCCATTCCATTCTGTTCTGTTAAGTGTTTCTCTGATAAAACATCCTGGAAAATACCAAAGCTTTTAACTATTTTAAAATGTTTGCTGTAAAAAATGGTATTGCCTCTATGGAATATTCATTGCAGATTTCATGAGATTAACTCATCTATTAGAACTGTGAAAAGCTTTGGATTGAAAGGTACAATAGCACTTCACAGAACAAGCATGCTCACAGCATAAAAAGATAACTATAGAAGAGGTAAGAAATCAAGCAACAACAAAAAGGATCTTGTGTCACTGCAATGAATATTTCATATTTTTTATCATGAAGTTTATATTAAACACCTACATGCAACAACATTTTGCAATTCTTTAAAGTAGTTGTGACTGGAATTGCTGTTTCCAGTTCTAGAATGACCCTAGAAAAAGGCTTGTTTGCAGATTGATGTTTCAAGTGGACTCTTAAGCATCATTTTGCCTTTTAAGTTCAACTACTTCTAGTGAATTAAAGAATCAGAAAGAATCCAGGATTATCTATATTACACACCCTAGTCAACCATTCTATAATAGAATATTGTAGTCTTCCTCTGTATGTAATTCAAATTCAGTTCAGAAAGGAAACCTAAAGCTGAATCCTGGTAGAGACTTTTAGAATTCATAGACAAATAATGGATCTCACTTTGCTCTGAATTTCAGATAATAATGAAGAAATAATGACACTTAGTGGACATTCAGCTTAAAAGATAACCCTTGCCCGACGAGGTCATTAAAGCAAGAATTTATTCTGTGTGTGTGTGTGTGTGTGTGTGCGCGCGCGTTTGTGTGCTCTCTCTCTCTCTCTCTCACACACACACACACACACTCTTTATCTATAATCCTTTAATACTTATGTCATCTGGAGAGTAGTTTTGATCTAGTGATTAAGGCACCAGATAGAAACCAGGAAACTGTGAGTGACTTTGGGTCAGGCCCTTTCTCTCAGCCCAATTCACCTCACAGGTTTCTTGTTGTGGAGAAAAGAGGAGGAGGGAATATTAAGTTCACCATCTTGAATTATTTATAAAAATAATAAAAAGCACAATAAAATATGTTTAAAAACCTTAAAGGTGCATTACTACAGAACACTGTCAAACTGCCAAATTTAATTATGGATACACCTACAAATCTTTCAATTTTAATCACTATATCATACCACATACAGATAGTCAATGAGCAGCTACACACCATTCACAGTTACATAATTACACAATTTCAGCTGAATCTTATCTACCTTAGCAGGTTGCCTTAGCTTTATTTCAGAATATAGTAAGATACTATATTGGGGAAAATGAAAAAGGAAGTCTCTTTTCTCCTTTTAAAAACATATGAAATGTAACATTTTCACGTAAAAGAAAGATCTCCTTCAAAGTAAACTTGACTCCTATAGTAACTTTATAGAATTAGATGTAGTTTCAGGCAACACTATGGAAGTCCCTTCTCATTTGTTTCTTCTGGGATGTTCTGATGGTCATCCCACAAAGTCCTCTTCAACATCCCCAAATTTGATCAAAGTTGGCTAGGTGCCGCTACCTACAGTAAATGAACTTGTTTAATGCCACATTCAGGAGGTTTTCTACAATTTCAATATTTCAAATGTTTACTGGCATAACACAGTCTGCTAAGAAAATCATTTTCTAATCAAATGCAGCACAGAATGTAACAAAATATAAAAGAATATTTACCAGGTTCTTCTTTCCTCAGAGCTGGCAAATCAAGGCTTTCATTTTCTCTGAAAAATAATCGAAACTTTTCAAAAGTAGCTGCATATAAATTTGCTGATTCAAATGCTGAATCAATTGTTTCCTATAAAGTAAAAATGATATTTAAATTATTATAGTCTTTGATTAACTTCTATCCATATGATGGATCTATTTCATTTCTTCTACTTTTATTGTCATTTATTACTATGCTGTGTCATTCTTACATAGAAGCAGTGATAGAAGCATATAAAAGTTAAAGAGCAAGTTGAAATATCTACCCTTAGATCACAATCTATTTCTGAATAAGTTAGAAAAATGTGGGATAAACAGCATCACCACCAGATGAATTCGTAACTGGCTGACAAACCGCACTCAGCATGTGGTCCTTAATGGAACTACATCTACAGGGAGGGAAGTAAGCAGTGGGTTACTCCAAGTTCTGGCTTAGGCTCAGTACTCTTCAATATCTTCATAAACGATTTAGATGAGGAAATAGAAGAACTCATCACATTTACAGATGACACTAAATTGGCAGGAATAATCAACACCCAGAAAATAGGCTCAAGATCCAGAAAAATCTCGACAAACTTGAACACTGTGCCCTAACAAAATGAAATTCAATGGTGAGAAAAGTGAGAAATTTTACACTTAGGCAAGAAAGACCAAATGTACAGATATAGAAAAGGTGTAACCTGACTCAACAGCAGTAATTGCAAGAGGGATCTTGGAATTCTTGTGGACAATTACCTAAATATGAGCCAGCAGTGTGCTGCAGCAGCCACAAAAGCCAAAGCAATCCTAGGCTGTATTAACAAAGGGTTAGAATCAAGTTCACATGACATGTTAGTACCACTTTATAATGCCTTGGAATATTGCAACCAATTTTGGTCTCCACATTATAAAAAAGACATTGAGACTCTGGAAAGAGTGCAGAGAAGAGCAACAATGATGATAAGGAGGCTGGAGGCTAAAACATATGAAGAACGGTTGTAGAAATTGGGTATGTCTAGTCTAGTGAAGAGAAGAGAAGGACTAGGAGTGATAGTTGGTAATATTTGAGAGACTGCCACAAAGAAAAGAGGGTGAACCTATTTTCCAAACCACCAGAAGGCAAGACAAGAAGCAATGGATGGACACTTATCAAGGACAGAACCAATTTAGAACTAAGGAGAAATTTCCTGACAATGAGAACAATTAATCAGTGCAACGGGGTTGCCTTCAGAAGTGGTGAGTGTTCCATCACTGGAGGTTTTTAAGATGAGATTGGAAAGCCACTTGTCCAGAATGGTATGGGTTCTCCTGCTTGTGCAAGGGGTTGGACTAGAAGACATCCAAGGTCCCTTCCAACTCTGTTATTCTGTTAGTCATTCAGGTTTGAAACTATTACTTGAGTACCTCTGCAATATGAAATATTTAAACGTAAATAAATTTATAAACAAGGGTGTCATATACCTTTATTTGTAGGATAATAGTTTGAAGATGTTTATCATCTTTAAACATTGTTGATAAGCTTGGTCCTTCACCACATGTTTTTTCTTCAATTTTGTTGTTAATAACAGGACGAGTGAAGGCATCAAAATACTGATCTGGAACAAGGTTTGCAACAGATAACACAGTTGCCTGAAACTGAGACACAATATCTGCCATAGCATCCTGTTTGACCAAATAGAAGAAAATCAGTTGAAATGTTTGCTCTGCTAGATATGAAAGTTTACATAGCATGTTCAGAGCTGTTCACATAAATATTGTGGAATCCTTTACAACAATTGTAAAAATGTCTTGTGAAGACCCACACTTTGAATGCCTCTAGCGTTCCCTATTTTAAATGTTTTCACTTCTTAAAAAAGAATACAAGGACTGATGTTACTAATTTGTGCATTAAATTACAGTAACCTTAATAATACATAAAATCTGAATGCCACCTAAAATTGAAATAAATCTCCAAAATTCATAGGTAATACTAAAGCCACAGAAAGAAAGATAGAAATATCAAAAGTAGAGTCACCTTTGCATAGAGTCACTGATAGTGATATTAATAAATACTTAATTAAATGCCATGGCTATTCTGTGTCAGTGGACAAGTGGCAAGGCTACCCAGAAGTTTTTTATTTTAAACACAGTCACCCCTGGATTACAAACTTGGACTTTTTTCTGTTGCTGGCTACCTACTTTTCTTCCCTTCCTAATTTTTACAGCATCTTTGTCATTGCCAAAATGCCTTCAAATAGTGCCTTTTATGCAGCAGTTAACTAGCAAACTAATTAGTAGACTAGGAATTAACACTGCTAGTTTCATTCTTGTTTTTCCTACACTAATAGCAGTTCAACTCATTAAGAAATATCAGGCTGTCTTCGTTCATATTGTATTGTTTAAGGATGACTATTCTTCTCAAATATTCTGGTCAGACTCAAAGCTAAGTTATTATTCAGTTGATCAAAAAGTATTTCCAGAGGCACTTTCCAGCCTAAATCTATGCCAGTCGAGAATTACATCTGACTCATAACTATAAAGATAATGTTTCAACTACTCTGTGCCCCATGATTACATTTCTTTTAAAAAAGGAAATCTTTTCAAAACTAAATGAACATTAACCTGGAACTCTTCTACAGTTGGTTCAAACAGCAATGCATGGATCTCTAAAATTAGCTCGACAAGAAACATTGGAATGGATGCCTCCTCTTCCTCTGCAATTACTGAAGAAGTTCCCTAGAGTAAAAAAAGAAAGAATGAATTAAGTCTTTTTAAAAATTAGACAATGAACTCAAACTCTAAAGCCCTCTAGCCTAGAAAGTTCCCTGTTTGTTAGAACGTAAATAATTTCCAAGTAATGGTTCAGATAGAATAGCCAGACAATGTTCACAGGCCCAGTGCAACTGCTTGTTTCAGAATGTTTCAAAATGTTGGCAAGAGTCTTTCTTTTCTTTGATCATGTGATTTCTTTGTTTTAATTATGATTATGAGGAAACTTCAGCTGTTTTAGTTCCTTTCTCTTCTGTCATATTATATTATATTCATCCTTTTTAAAATGCATCCTTTTAATTTTGATACTCATGTCTTAAAATAATGTTATCACATTTTTGTTTAAAACTGATATTTTTAATCAGACCTATCCAGTTTCTGAAAGTGAACATTATTTATTAGTTAGGATTTGTAGAGAATTTTTTGGATATTACTCAGCATTAACAATACCATTTCTTATGTTATAAGCATTTACACAGAACTCTTTGAAGTATTTTCCAATTATAAAACATACTGTATAGGTACGTTTCATTAATTTCCATTGATAAAATGGATTCCAGAAACACATTTTCACAGGATATGAAGTCAGGAACAATATATGAGATCAAAACAAAATGACTGATATTGATCAATAGAAAACAATAATTCTGCCCTAAACAGTAAGTTTTCTTAAATTCTTGATCAAGTCATTCTAAACAGTTTGAACATCTCACTTTGGTGAATATTACCTTCTTTTCCACAACTTCAGGTGCTTCTAAATCTGTATTCCATGTTTGGATAATGTCTGCAAGTGGTGTTTTCTTCAACTTCTCAGTAAGGTAATGCAAGAGAGTAGCAACAGATTTAACTGCCAAGACGTGCATAGTATTTACTATAAGATAATCAGCAAGACGAATAAAGCTGGGAAGAAACAAACAGATCAACAATGAAAAACAGACTATTGTCTTAGCACAGACAATCTCACGGGCTTTAATGAAACTTTTTGTGTGTGTATGTGTATGTGTATGTGTGTATAAGAGAGGGGGGAAGTAGAGAGGGAGATCATGCAAAAATTATTAAGAATATACTGTCTGGGCTGAACACTGAAAAGAAATATTATCCTGGCTAAACTAAATCTGGAGAATAAAGCAATTTATGGGAAACTAAACCTGGAGAATTAACAGCAATGGCAAAATTAACAATATACAGTAACAAAATAAATTAAAGACTAAATTTAAGCAAGAATGGCTTCCCTAAATATTAGATGTCACACAACAAAACAAATTCACATGCTTAACAATATGGTGTAACACTCTCCCAGGCAGTTTTAGAGTGCAATTTGGGGATGCTCTTGGGTTGCAGTTCTTGCTCAAGGAAAACTATCATTTAACTATATCTTGTGCACCAGTTGGTCTGTTCCAGATCAGGAAGGACTGGTTACAATCACTTAAATCTTAGTCATCTTCCAATTCAGTTATTGCAATGAGCCCTAGTCTGGGCTGCCCTTGAAAAACATTCAGAAACTTCCACTGATCCAGAATACAATGGCATATTTAATATTGGTGTACTACAGCATGTCCATGTAACACTGCTGTTACTAGGCTGAAGTGGTACAAGTCAAGGTGCTGGTTGTCATCTTTAAAGCTTTACATGGAAATGGCTCAGGAAATCAAGAAATCCTTCAGAGAAATAGGTAAGAACTACCATATATGCAAAGAGGGCTAAAATATTCCCCACAGTAGCGGAATGGTGCAATGGGTTAAAATGCACTATTGCATGCTAATTCTGCCGACTGCCAGAAGTTTGATTCTCACCAGCTCCGAGGCTGGTATAATGAGGACCAGATTGCTGGAGGCAATATGCTGACTCTGTAAACTGCTTAGAGCAGCATTCCCCAATCTTTCCTGGTTGGCAGCCAGGCACAAGGAGGGGGGTCAGGAGAAGAGGGGATGGTTTTGTGTGAGGTGCAGGTGCATGCATGCATGCACGCATAACTTCATTTGTGTGAGTGGTAGGCCCGTGTGCCCACCACTCGCGCTAGTGGGGCTGTGAGTGCCGGTACCTGCTGCTTGCATGAGTTGGGCTGCGCGTGCACCCAGCCCACCACTCATGTGGCCCAGTTGCAAATAGACCACGGCCCGGTAGTGGGCCATGGCGCATAGGTTGGGTACCCCTGGCTTAGAGAGGGCTGTAAACCACAATGAACCAGTATATAAGTCTAAATGCTATTACTATTGCTATAATACAAGATTGGATTCAGAAGAGATACAGCCATGTACTTCCCTGATTGACTAGGATATAAGGAAGAGGAGAAATAAAGCACAATCCAGCTTGCAAAATTCTACAAATATAGTTTATAATTGTTATTATAGCTTATAATAACCCTCCGCAAGTGTCCATTTTCCAATCTAGTCATCAGATTACTTACAGAAATGCCTGTCCCCTTTGATTTTGTCCCCACCCCTTCTGATCTGACAGAGGGAACATTTTCCAAGTCCCCTCATGGAGTAATACCATCTAGGGGACCTGAGGAAGCATACCATGTGTCATGGTAACTGCCTTGTTTAACAGCCTGCTCTTGCAGGGATATGGATGGCCCTGCTCCTGCTGGATTTCTGAAAGGCTAAAAAGACCTGGCTTTTCCTCCACATCCTGGGGCCAGGATGTTACTGTAATTCTGGAATGGTGTGTTTACTATATTGATAATGTGATTTTTATGGAGGCTTCAACTTGGTATTCCTTTTAATTGATTGGCTAACTGTATTATGTTTTTATTTCTGTTTGCCCCTTAGAGTTGTACTGGGGGGTGGGTGGCCATATAAATTTGATTAATAAATACATTTACATGTATATGTGTAATGTTCCAGTGTGATATATAAATAAAAAATTCTTTATGATCAAAATGTATGAGTTATGTAAGAAATCTTTATTTTATTTATTTCGCCCTTCAAAGGAAAAAAATCAAAATGGCTTTGAAAATAATATAATAACAGAGTTGGAAGGGACCTTGGAAGTCTTCCAACCTCCTGCTCAGGAGGAAACCCTACACCATTTAGACAAATTGCTGTCCAATCTCTTCTTTAAAATCTCCAGTGTTCTGGAGGCGTCGTTCTGAAAACAAGTCATTCCACTTTCCAGTCTCAAAATATTTTTTACGTCATGGTGATCAAAACTGGATGCAATATTCCAAGTGTGATCTTACCAAAGCACTATAAAGCAGTACTAACACTTAACTTGATCTTGATTCTGTCCCTCTGTTAATGCAGTCTAAGAATGCATTGGCTTTTTTGGCAACTGCAGCACACTCCTGGCTCATATTTAAGTGATTGTCCACTAGGATTCCAAGATTCCTCTTGCTGTTACTACTACTATTGAGCCAGGTACCACCAATTCAGTAAAACAATATTACACTATATAATTTCAACAAACAAAAACCAGCAACAAAATTCAAACAAAGGGTAGCAAGCAATAAATAACATTGCCTAAGTTAAAGTAATAACTTAATATTGCTTTAACTATCATTAAAAATGTTTCCAGAGTACTGGTTTTTGTTTCATACTGCCCAATGTATTGATTACACTTTCATATTGCCAAGAAAAATAAATAACACAGAGATATGATATATGCAAATAAATATATAAATATAACAAGGAAGGAATGGACTATAATTTTCATATTTATATTTTCACCATTAATATTAAGGATTAGCTTTGTTTGATGGAAGGACTGTTGAAAGAAATTTTTGCAACATTTACAAAATAGGATTTAAGGTCTCTGATTTGATGTCAATTACTCAGGTCACATAGCATGTTAACCCATAATCAGATGTTGTTTTTTTCACAAAATAGGTGAAGCTAGACTAAATTATCACCACTTTTAGCAAAAAGCACTTTTGCTATTTTACATCTTACCAGTTCTAAATTGAGACAAATATATTATGACAAGACACCCATAGAAACGCTATTACTTACCATGTTAGCCTTCCACACTGAGCCCTTTTATTGGCCTGTTCTGTGTATGTCATTCTTTCAGGTTGTTCACTGTACATGTCTTTCTCAACACGAGGAACGACTCCTACCGCAACTTCTTTTTTTGTTGCCTGTTCTGAGGAAAAATGCAGGTGCAAATTGCTGTAATTATTCCAGGCACAAAGCTAAACGGTACATTTACAGTAAAAGAAACAATCTATCCATATATAGCTGGCTAAAAAAAATTTAATTGCCTCTTCTAAGCCGTCTGACTTAGAATGGGAGGGTTATACTGGTCCCTGTGAAATTTTACAGGGGCTACTCAAATGATAGGGAATGATATAGATCAAAATGTGGATTGGGTCAGGCTGTACTCCCTCCCCCCCAACACACACAAATTCACACTACCTTCTCCCTGTTGCATATTGAGATTGTAATGGTGGGTAACTTGCCCTTCCTTTTCACAGTACATAACATCATATCTTGATTCTGTCTTATTTTTATTTTCTATTGATTAGACCCACTTCTCTGAGGTTTTTTTTGACAAGGTTTTTCAGAAGTGATTTGCCATTATCTCCTTCCAAGAGCTCAGCGAAAGTGTCTAGCCCAAAGTCACCCATCTGGTTTTGTGCCCAAGGTACAACTAGAATTCACAATCTCCCAGTTTTTAGTCAGATACCTTAACCACTAAAAACTGAAATTCCCGAAGTTCAAATGTTGAAAGAAAATACAATTATTTGAAAATTCAAAGAACTTTCTAACCCCATTTATTTGAGATAAAAGAAATACACATATACTCATCCGGCATTTAAAATAAACATACTATTATTTATTGTTAATTTGGTAGTTTTGTACCTGTATTCTCAATACTATAAAAATAATCATCAGGAGTGAAACCAGTTTCAAGTAGTGCAGTTCGACATGCACCTCTAACCACTTCTTTAGCTAATTCTCTGAATTCTGACAAACGAGATGCCACCTAAAATGTTAATGAAATTACAGGTGAATAATGATTAAATTTCAGTTAAAATATTTATATGAATTCTTGAACAATTGAAACATGAAACTCACATCTTTTAGCTGACTGAACTGAGTACCTTTAAACTCTATTAATGTATATATATATCCCTTTTCAATTTGACAAAGTACCATGTCACCAATTCGATAACACATTTCTTGGATGTTTAGAATTGCTGGTCTCAAACACTGCAAAACAGAACAAATCAATAAGACAGAAAGGACTATTAGAAAGTATTGTGTATATTTTCTGAATAGTACAACAAAAGGAAATTGATTGGCTTTCATATTTACACTATACTTGAGACAAATTGGAAATCACATGGTTACACCTGTTCTTTCTATTTTCTCTGGGTCTCCCAGTTTTTCCCCCATATCATGATGGAATAAAGGGGTCTTGGCATGTTTATACATAAGTTGTCCAAATTGAAATACAGATGTGTATAGTTGATAGCTCCTGGAAAATGGCTCCTGGATATTAGTGTCTCTGGGTTCCCATATATTAAAAATATTGACTGCACAGAGCTATGCAAAATATTTGTGATCATGCATTATCAAGTATATAAAGTCAGCAAGAAACAATATTTTGTTGTTGGTTTTTAAAAAGCAAATGAACAAAGCAGCTTTCCAATTTTTCAAAATAATCGATTTCCAAATTCCATCCAAAGAAAAAAGTGCTCCTAGTATTGTATTTACTAAGGAAAGGAAGGAGAGGCTATAGTTTCTAATAATTAAAAATATTCTCCAGGTAGAAAAACAAGATTATCATCATCAGCCAGTTTGGTCTAATGGTTAAAGCACCAGGTTAGAAACCAGGAGACTGTGAGTCTTAGATGTGAAAGCTGGTTGAGTGACTTTGGGCCAATCTTCTCAGCCCAACTCACTTCACAGGGGTGATGAGGGAAAAATAGGAGGAGGAAGTAGTATTGTGTGTGTTTCATTATAGCATCCCTTAAAAACTGCTCTGTGTGCATGAGTGGATCTTTCTGAAGAGCATAGGAGCAGATCAAGGGATTATTGGGAGAGAAGATAATAAGTGAAAAACTTCACTTTTGCAATAACAGGTATTTCTGATAGTTCAACTATTTTTCTGTTTGTAAAATATTTCAATCTCTGATTTTTTTTAGATTATGAGCTTTATTGACTTTCCATACTAACTAAACTCTAGCAGCACTAATTTAGAGCTATGGAACTACAGCTATGTTAATATCAATATATTTCACACAAGGAAACCTATATTACATTGTAAATCATTTTGATATTAAAGAGTGACATCTTCAAAACAATACAATGATTTAGATCAAGGATGTCAAACTTGTGGCCCAGAGGCCGCATGCATCAGGTGCTGGCCACGCCCACACCCGGTTTAGCAAAGGGGGAGAAAAGTTGCAATACATCACGTGAAGCTGCCATGATGATGCGAGTTTGACACCCCTGCTTCAGTGTCCTTCACATGTATTATTTCAGTAATAAAAACACAATACATACAGCATTAACAATGAATAAGTTCTTCTGTAAAGCTCGGCGGCATGAATTGATCTTTTTGCAGCGGACGTTCTTTCTCCATACATTAAATGACTTCCATTTGCGAAATATAGCAAAGATAGTGATTTTGACAAGTGCCCTATGATAGACATATTCTTGCTCCCAGCGTTCAAGTTCCAGGTATTCAACTTCTCCATTATATGTATGAATAACTGCTTGTGGACTAATAGTGTAGTAGTCATTTTTGTTAATGCAGTCATAGCTTACAATTCTAAAAAAAACAAAAAACATCTTGTTTAATAGAATGAATTGATTGTCAAGACCTGAATAAGCAATGATGGATTATCTATATATGCCTATTCTGTACCTGTAGCAAACAGAACCTGATGGAATAATATCTGCTATTTTTGTATCATTCCGTATCATGGTTTTGCTACCAATCTATTAATTTTCAAGCAGGAAGCATAGCAATTAATATAACTTTTTTTTATCATGGCAGGACGTTTTCTGACATATCCTGGATAACTGAACACATTGCATTGTTTTTTTTAATTATTAGATGCAGCCTCATCCCATCAGGTTTAGATCCACGACAAGCTATTATGATGTGAAGCAAATCTTTATTTATCCAGGATGGAGTGAAGTGATTCAGAATGGCACCGGTTCTACCTTCAATACAAATGTATTTTGCATTGCAAAAAAAAAAAAAAAGCAAATGTATTTCCTAAAGCAAATGTATTTCACTAAAGCAAATGTATTTCCCACCCACCCAAACTTTTCACATGAAAAGTTTACATGAAAGTTCAGTTCAGTTGTTCACATGAAAGGCATAAATCAGGGTTTATAAATGCATTAGTACTCAAATGTCCCTGCTCAATTTTTGTACCACACTTCATATTTGCATAAAGCTCTACCCCGCATCAAACTGTTGTCCCAATTTCCTAAAAACAATAATATGACAGCAATTTGTGTTCTTTCCTTACTAGATTAGTGAGGGGCAAATGACACTGGTTTTGTTATTTGTTAACTAACATAGGTACTTGGTATTTTAATCTGATTTATTTTCTCTCTTTTAAAATGATGTTCATTCCTAAACTGATAAACAAGCTAGAGACTAGCTCCAAATAAGAAAAAGTTTGTTACTACAAATTGGGGTCTGGTTTATCTCTTTTGTGAACTCCAAACACAATTACATCCCTTCTGATGTCAGACCTCCTTTTAATGAACATGTGATATTCTGGGATGTAAATATGTAACATGTTTGACTACGTGTAACTGATTTCCTATGCAAAGGGAAGGCTACTTTTATCCTGTCCAATCAACTTTCCTCTTGGACTTTGTTGTGTTAACTATAAAAAGGAGTGAAACATGGGGCTCCTTTTCATAGAGGGACCACACTTTATCAGAGTACTCTAATAAACTGCTTTTACATGATCTTCTGACTCAGTTGGTTATTGGGAAGATACTTATTGGGAAGGGAAACTGAGGCAGAACCTAGTATATGCTAATAGTTGTTATGTAAATGATCTGACAAAACTATATGGCAAAACATATATTTGGCATATAATAATACTGTTCTTCCATGTTACAACAACTGTTTGAAAAACATCCCATATACATTCATGAAACAAACAAAATGTTAAAAAGTTATCATATTTATGTAGTTACTTACCATGCATATCTAAATTATATTAAAGTAACCAAAATATCTTTACAACCCCCAAGGCATATCAAAACTTTTAAGTGCTCCTAATGTTTGGAAAGGGAAAGTTGAAAAATTTGACATGCCCTAATTACATATCTGTCTTCTTTTGAGATGTATACATTATATGATTGCCTTTTTAAATCAAAATTTAACCATATTCCTTAATTGATAATTTCATTTCAGTTTCCCCTTTCTAAGGAAAAAGATACAAGTTTTCAAATTTTAGCACCACATTTATGTTAAAACATATACATATAAGAAAAATATAAAAATTAGATATAACTATATTAAGGTATTTCTTTCAGTAAATATATTAACTATCACTAGAACAGAGATTGGAATTATAAGTGGTAAATCTGGAATTCATGTTAAACATAAAATTATTGTTTTTTAACATACAATTGCTTCAACATTTAAAGGTAACTCACTTCAGGTTATATGTGTCATACTCAATGGATGATTTAGGCACTGCGGGAGTCATGTACAGAAATCCAAGGTTATTGTTTTCACATATTATTCTTATAATCTGTAGAGGCTCTGTAACATTAGCTTTAATTACTTCTTCCGGTCCACTAAATGTACGTAAAGGTGGAGTCGGACCTGGTTTGCAAGCACTTGTCTTTAATATACTACGTGGTTGCTTAGGAGGAGTTGGAATTCGTACCATAGCACTCAGCATCTGTGATGATAAAGGAAAGGAACTTATATATAACTCATTTTTTTAAAAAAAGATACTATTGATTTCCTGGGTTTTTTGAAAACCAAGCATATTCTTATAGATTCTTATCACAAATTTACTGCATAACAATAATATTTATAACTGCTTCCCTAATATTTTTTTCGAACAAAATCAATATCATGGTTTATCACTCTTCCTCCAGAATGGCTTATAAAAGTTTGGAAGCTTTCCCTTCCTAAGTTAAATTAACAAGAAGTTCTACTTTCCTCTATAGTCTGGAAACTAAATTATGTTTCAGTCAAGTAAGCCTGGATTGAAAGTGTTTTGAAGAAACCATATTCAGGTATCCATTTCAGATTTAATGAGAAATTTTATTATCTGAAAGCTGCAGTGTTTCTGAGCTCTTTGTTGCAATCAAGTAAGTGGGCCAGATAAATCTACTTGGATTCCTGAAGCAAAGCATCAGTTGCCTTCCTCCACATTCCACATTCACAATTCAATTGGCCCAACACCTGCACATTACTTCAATGCTCATGACAGAATAGCATCCTGTATGAGAATTCTCAGGGGTTTGTTTATTTTATGCCTTTTTAGTGATAACATTTATTTACCACCAGAAATCTCTAAATTGCTTACAGAATAAATGTAATGCAAGTTGCTATAGTAATTAAAATGGTAACCCAATTACGCTTCAGTTTAATCCATGTTAAACAGTAAATAATACATTGAATTAATTGAATATGGCACTTCTTGTACAATTAAAACCTGAATGCCTTCTGGAAAAGTCGTATTTTCATCCAACTGCAGAACGCTCTGAGGACGGGGACCATCTTTACCTCAGCAGGCAAGCCCTTCCAGAGGAAGAGAACCGCTACTATATAGAGAATGCCTATTGCAGAGCTTCCTCCTGCCATACTTTCTGATAGATGAGGACCATTAGCAAGTACTACTTAGTTGTTTGGGTATAATGGGCAGAAGCTGTTGAAGAAAGATGGCCCTCAAGATATGAAGCTTGCCTGGTTTTGTAGGTAGTGACAAGTACCTTGAATTACACTCAGAACCAAATCAGTAGTTAGTTAGCGCAGCTCCCACAGCAGAAGTGCAACATGGCAGTATCGTCCTCTTTATTTTTGTATTTAAACTTCAAAAACTTTCCATTCAACTTTTCTTTTAAAAATTATTTTATATAGAAGTTAATTAGCAATAGAACAATAAAACTGTATTGCCATTTTAGATTAATACTATACAACAATGGTATACATGAGAATAATAAGTCTTAGAGTGAACCTCCTTCACCAGATGAGAACCATTTATGGCAAGTTTAAAAGCAGCTTCAAATAATGAAGAATTACAACTGGCCACGTACACTTTCTTACATTAATAAGGGAAGTGAAATCTCCTTTTATGTATTTTTTCAAATCTAAGTAACTGGAAAGTGGTCTGATGTTTAAGATATCTGATGATGTTTTTAAAGCATGCTGGAAAAGGTGAACCATGCATGTTTCAATACAGCTATTTCATTAACTCCAACATGCAAGAATACCTTAAAATTATTTTATTTATTTTTATTTATTTTATTTTTTATTTTACTTTATTATTTGGAGTAATAAATTGTAAGTGCCTTGAGCATACAGATAGTCCTTCACTTACAACAGTCCACTTAGTTCGATGTTACAACAGTACTGAAAAACGTGTTTTTTGACAATTTTTCACACTTACATTCATTACAGAATTCCCATGGTCATGTGATCAAAATTCAGACAACTTGGCAACTGACTTGTATTTATGATGATTGCAGTGTCCTGGAATCAGATGCGACTTACTGACAAGCAAAGTCAATGGGGAAACCAGATTCACTTAACAGCCGTGCTACTAAATTAACAACTGCCATGATTCACTTAATAAGAAAGGTCATAAAATGCAGCAAAATTCATTTAACAAATGAATGTCCTGTTTAGCAACAGAAATTTTGAGCTCAATTGAGGTTGTAAGTCGAGGATTACCTGTATTTTATTTGAAGGGAAGATTAAAATATTTAAATAAAAGTATGCATTCACAATCTGTAAGGACAGACAATACCTGTCTTTCTTTCAGTTCTTCTTGGAGTTCAGATGAAATTGCTTCCACTGTACCAGGCCATTTTCTTTTCTCTGCTGAAGTTGTAGGCTTTAATACTCCAGCTGCTAACAATTTTTCTCTGTTCTTCTGGTATATATATTCAGGTTGTTTTTGGTGCTGATATGTTTTTAAGGCAGGCTAAATTAAGAATGAAATAAGTTTTTTAAAAAATGAATAACTCATCAATAGAAATGTTTTGTATACAATAATAAACAATAAAATTAAATTCGATAAGTACAGACTCTGTCATAGGTCTTTAACTGTGAATAGAGAAGACAGCATGTATCACAAGCCAGGAGTCTAATAAGTTGAGTCTAATAAGTTTTGTTTTACATGGGTTGCGCATTCTCTTAAAGCAAAGATTCACACTGTTAGTGACTTATAGCATTTTCTAAAGTCATCCAATCATCTTGTGTTAATAACAGTAATGAAAAGTCTTTAATTCCCCAAAATTAATATGTAGTAGGAAGTATATGGCTTGCCCTGTGGGCAGGGGATAAATTCTGAAAACCTCAAGTAATTGAATTGCACTAGGCTGATTTTTTTTTAATCTCATTGGACAATTATTTATAAGGGTCAAAATTCGATAGTTACAGAATGATTTGATTAATCTTTCTTAACATAAATATTATAGATTGCAAGTTTAGAAAAATTAATTTTTTCTACTAAGAGATCCATGAATTTTTAGGGTCATGAAATTAGGATTAATTTGACATGATTGATCTCTGCAATATTTGTATAGCATTAACTCATACAGAAGAACTGTATTTCCTCAACCCTTTTTCTGATAATCAAAAATGTAATATCAAAGTGTTTTATATCTTTGTAATTTCCACATTTCAAAATTAACTGATAATCAACAAAAAGTTATAGACTTAACTTAAATTTTCTATATACAAATACTAAATTTAATGGTATTTATGCACCAGTTTTCGTAAGACTAAACATATTTGAAAAAAAAAAACCCACAACTTTTTCCAAATTAAAAATATAGTCTTAAAATCAAAATCAGCCTACTAAAGGTTCTAGCTTTATAGGCTGCTGCCGCTTCCTAGTTCTTTCTTGAGATTTTGTATTATGTTCAAATTTCAGAGCTTCAGGATTTGGTGCCATCTGTTTTGGAGCCACACTGGTCAGTCTGTTTCTTAATTCATTTATTGAAGGAGAACTTTTCCCATTAGAAGACTCTTCACTTGAACTCTGATTGCTTCTGCTAACTGTTGATTCCAGTGACGGGATAGAAGGCAATAAGACTCTTTTTGACATAGTGGCCTGAAAATAAAATATGGAACCTTAACGTAAGTCTAAATATAAACAAACTGCCTTATCAACATTAATATGTAACCAAGAACAAACCAAGGGAAATGGATAAGAATATAAGAAGAAAATGTGTATTGGTATAAGCACATTAAGATCTGAGAAACATCATACTGTTAAAGTATCCCATTTGGGGGATGGATCAAGGTGCAGCATAGATAGACAGACAGAGGATAGAGAATGAGAGAGAATGAGAATACAGTGAGAGAATATAGAGAGAAAAATATATAGATAGACAGACAGACAGACCGAGAGAGAGAGAGAGAAGATAGAGAAAGAGAGAGAATAGATAGATAGATAGAGAGGGAAAATAGATAGATAGATAGATAGATAGATAGATAGATAGATAGATAGATAGATAGATAGATAGATAGATAGATA